GGGGTTCTGAGGGGGTTGGGGGGGTACTACGCCTCCGCCTCCTGAGCCTTCGGGGGCTGCTGCTGTCTATTGGCTGCTACCCGCATCTGCTCAATTATCTCCTCCAGGTTCTTTTTTGTTCCTGCGAATTGGTCTTCCATCGCAGCTTGTCTGTCCCGTTCCATCCTCTCGAGGGCAGCCATAACCTCCGCGGGTATCTGCACAGGGCCATCTTTCGGGAGTTGCTGGACAAAGTTGGTCAGCGCGTTTATGTGCTGATCCTGTCGTTCCTGCCTTTCTTGATGCGCCCTAGTCGCTTCGACGATCTGCCCGAGGACTTGACCGAGGTTGCTGGTAGCGGCGGTGGATTCCGCTCGTAGCTGGGCCATGACCTGGTTGAGCTGATTATCCCGCTCGGCTCTGTCCTCAGCGAACTTGGCGTGGAGGTCCTCGACGATCTTGTTGGTGTACTCCTGCTGCTGACGGGTGAGTTCCCTGAGGATGGGAATATCCCGCACGTGCATGCTGAGTTCTTCGATCCCGCGGCTGAGCTGCTGGACCACGGGGGCCCCTTGTCGCTGGACTTCTTGCCCAATAAGGTCGCCGAAAGGGTTTTCCACCCGCCGTTCCTCTACGTCCATGTTGGTATCCTCGTCGTCGTCCATTACCCGAGGCACCGAGGGCCTCTGAGTAGAGGATCTCTCTCTGATTGGGGTGACGTATGGGGAGAACTCCCGGTGGTCTACCTGCCGCCTCCTCGCCTGCCCATAGGATTCTTCCTGCCTCGTCGATGTGAAGAGGGAGCCTATCGGCACATCTCTCTCTTTTCTGTGGCGCCTCTTCGCTTGGGTCTCTAATATACCTCGATCTCTCAAGGCGATTGAACTCTCCATGTTGTAGTCTTCCTCCGACCGTTGCTGATGAGCCCTTGACATGGCTAAGTTGCTCGAGTTTGAGCTGTGGATGCCTTCTGCACCAGGGTTGAGCAATGAACCAGGGGGCTGGATGAGCAAGTCCGAACGACCGTTGCGCGAGAGTGATTTTGATTGGGAAGAGTTCCGGGTAGTTGAGGATTTCGGGGTCGTGTTCCTCGAAGGTAGCGGTGGTTCCTGCTTCTGCGAAGAAACCTGTGTAGTGGAGGTATCCGCAGTATAGATGTTCGGCGCTTCCTCTCCGAACGATGAAGGATGTAGCACAAAGGGAGTTGTTGATGGCTGCTGTTGCCACTCGGGGGTGCATATAGTACCTTGGTCTTTTCTAATAGACTAAGCGCTTATTCTTCTACTGAGAGCACGGTGACTATCCGCCACTAAGCAAAATACTCAGAGTATTGGTTTAAGCGAGTAGTTGTCTTATCGAGACTTTGGTAGTGTATGCGATAGGTAAAGAGTAAAGTTAGGGATAAGGTACAATATAGTGTTTGGGGAAATAGCCAGTGCTAAGCGATATTCTGTAGCGTTTAAACTGATGATATTGTAAACCGGATTCCCTTGACTTGATGGTTGATGATACCCTCAAGTCTTCGGAGAATCAAGCCCTATTTATACATGTTGGAACCTATGCCAAGGCCCGCTTTCTAATACTAACTGACACATCGATAATAGAATAAGATAATGCCCCCGAAGATAACCCAGATATAAAAGCGCCCCCGCATAGTTCCGTCCTCCATTCTAATTCCGACACGTAACCATGAACCTTGCAATTGCCAGTCACCGGGCTGTACCATACTATTATCCTAGACCTACTTCCCTAAGTAGAACAGCCTACAGCCGTGAGCCTCGCTTCCTATTCCATTCCGGGTGAGGCACCCAATAGTAAGCGTGCCGTCATAATAGTATAACACTAGTGTGGTAACACCGCGTATTCCCACACTACCCGATACCTTCCTATGCTTGTCCTTTCGTTACCCGACCGTCCTTACATCACAACCCGTCACTCGTATTCCTCATTGTCCTAAGCCTCTTAGAACAGTGCTCCGTAGTTCCCGTAACATATACATTCTACTCAAATTGAATTATTGGGCAAGCAGAGATGGGAACTACCACAACTGTTCGACTGGTGGTGGAGAAGGTGAATATATTAAGCTTGAGAGTGAATAGAATAATCTAACTATAAGGTCTAGTCCATAAAGTCAGTTGAGGACGGTCTCAGGTTGCGTTGGTATCGCTCAATATTGGCTCCCTCTCTGGCCCAGAAGTATGGGATTTTTGCGTGTTTCAAAGACCGCTTGATCTCTTGGTAAATACAGAGTATCAGTACTGGTGGTAATCTGGTAATAGACAAGTCCAAGGCCGTAACATTAGTATGAGTTTGGGCAGAACACAGTTATGTAGTCTGGAAAGGACAGACTCCTGGCCCGTGTCCCAGATCTACTCTACGGTCTACGTGTAGCTACACATAGGCCCGTTGTTCAAGAGGTGGATGTTTGTGATTAGGTTATGAGTCATCTCGGGAATGAAAAACAATAGATACATGTATTTGAGAAACCAAAAACGCCGGAAAAAGGAGAACCAGGCTTAGTAGACGACCCTTGAGTAAGCGAGCCAGAAAATTTGTAGGCCTTGGCAGTCCCGAGTGATGACTCATGAGTTAAGTTCAATCAACCGTATCGCATCGGTTCGATCGCGGCGTTTGCTTTCGACCAACATGAATACATGTACTGTGTAAAAAAGAGAGCGCATAGCCTCTTACCCATGACCAAATAGTACATAGCTTGCTACTCACCATGCTTGTTACGAGCCTAGAGAGCGCCTGGACTGCAATGCATGCGTGCTTTCTACCCGGCTGGTAGGAGAGCGTGTTATCGATACGTCAGTTTTTACGTTATGAACTCATCTCATATCCCGTATCCCAATATACATGTGCTCCCTCAATTCAAATTAATTCGCATGTACATGCAGGGGGCTGAGTGTCAGTATCAGGCTAGAGGTTTGTAGTATGTACTCCGGCATACGTATATACCTTCGGCCCGAGAACCGACGTCTCAGACGATTAACGGGTTTAGCCGTACTATAAACCTCAAAGGTACACGCGCGTGTGGATATTTGGAAGGGGGGAGGGGGGGGGGGGGGGGGGGGGACTATCCTATCTCTTTTAGATATATTAGACCTGTGGGGGTAATGGGGCGTAAAGTGATAGTGGAAGACGACGATAAAGGTACAGATATGATCATATGACTCAGTCTGGAGGGCTTCCCCTTCCAACTGTCCAAACCTCTCAAAATCAAAACACATTATCATCATCACCATCCAGGCCCTAGCTGCTCTCCTTTTATTACCCCAGACCAACTCTCTTCGAGCTTGCTCTACAGTTCAGGAGAGTACTCTAGATACAGTAAGGAAAACACTCTAAAATGTACGATGGACTCGTTTCAATTGTATTTCCCACAATCATACGTGGCTCCCGATAGAATACTATGAACCATTGAAAAATCTCTGCTAATTGGGAAAGAAACATTGTCTATTGCTTCGATCAAAGTACTATATAACCAATCGATTATGAAAGCTCATTTGCCCACGATACCAAGCTGCGGGTGCCGTCATCTTCGACTTATCCTTCACCCTCATTATAGGAGTAAATACTCCAGTAGCCGGGGCTTTAAGTGTTATTAGCTTCAGGAAACTACTTTACCAGTTCCATAGTAGCCGTTGGTGATGAATATGAAGTAGTGGGTATGGCAAAAACAGCAGTGAGGCAGTACTGCTTTCCATCGAACGGACATGCGTAAGAGAGATGGGAAATAAGATGCCACCGTTGGGATGTTTATACAAATGATTTCGAGTAAGGGATTATAGTGGACGTCATGCGAAAATTAATGTATACCTTATAAGCTAAGTCGGCTTGAGTTCGTTCCCTTGCTTTAGGGCTTATTTCTTTGAGGGGCTCTGATCGCATCTCGTAATTGCAAAAGCACACAAACTAAAACAAAAGCTTGATACCCTACATATCTTCACAATACCGACCACCTGGCGTCATACCAGATATGACTTCCGGGCCGAGGAGAATATATGGTTATGAGTGTGGTATGTATGAGTGGTGCATGTTTATCAAAGAATAGGTCTCCCATAAATCTCTACTTTTAGCAATATTGATAGACTAAGGGCAAACAACAATCTTGTCCTCAAAACACGAGTGAGATATTATGAATCAATAATTGTTACCAAACTCATTTTTGCATACATCGATAGCCACATACCGATTCACAGGGACCTAGATAGATATCCACACTAGAGTTGTCTAGAATGCCGGCCGTGGTAGCTTATTAGCTGTGATTAACTATTAGTCTGGCCCTAGACTTTGATGCACACTTAAAGAATAAAATACTGATATTGATATTGCTAGTCCATCTTATGTCTCATATGAGAATAGAAATACAAACTTCATTCGTTTTGAAGATTATCCTCCGCTTCTAATAGTTGATACCTCCCCGCGATACATGTAACTATAAAATCATATTTAATCCGAGAATAGGGCACAGAAAACTTGCGATGTAATAAAGGGTGTATGACCTTATTCTCGCAACATGAGTGAACACCGTGCCGAAGTGAGGTGGGGGAGAAACGCGCCTGGATAAGTAAACCACCAATAGAAGTAAAAAAAGAGAGCAAAGAAAACAAAGAAACAGAAAGAAAGCGCCAGCCAGTCAGGCCGTAAAGAAAGCAATCCGTGAAAATATGGAGGGAAATGCGGGTAGAAAGCCACTACCAATAACGCCAGTGTATGAAAACCAACTATGTAACTAAAATAAAAGTAAAGGTAGGAATAAGGTAAAATCGAACCAGTCCACTCCCATGATAGTCGCGGCCGGTACACCACAGAGTGAATGAGAAGACCACAATAAATACACAACTCCAGTAATTAAAAAGAAAGAGTAAGGAAAACCAGATCCCCGCTATGCTAATTTTGCGCTCATCAGCTGAAAACACAAAATAATAAAGGAAAAGAGAAGAAAGAAAAAAAAAATCAGAAACACCAAATCCGTTTTCCTTATTAAAAAAAAAAAAAAAACGAACAAACCATGTTTATTCATCGTCATCGTCTAGGCAGATCACCTCGACCTCCTTCTTACTGTTACCGCCACTGGCATTTGAGGAGTCCTCACTCTTCTCGTTAACGGCGTTTTCCTTTTCATGCTTGATTTCCCAACTCCCATCCTTCTTCACAACTATGTTTCTTGGGTCCTGGACTCCCATGTCGCCCCCCTTAATCGCATTTAAAACTTCGGCTAAAAATCCATCAATTACCAGCTCTCCCGGCCGTGCATCCCCGCGGCAAATAGGGCATTTCCAAGCATCGGAATTCGGTGGCTCCCATTCTCTGCGTCGCGGGCGACTATCCAGGAAGTTTTTGAAGTCGAAACATTCAAGGTGTGTACAGGACCGTCCCCGGACTGGGCTGTTCATGAGCGTGAAAGACAACGGACATGTAACAGCCAGGGAAAGGTGGTCGCTGTCAACAACCATAAGATCATCACCGTCTGCACTTTGGCCGATTAAACGTTTGGTAATAAGGGTCTTTGCGTCGGTAGAAGGAATGGTATAAAGAGAACTGGTAATATCATCTTCATGCTTACACTCATGAATCTCGACTGCCATGGCATACATGACACTTTTATCGGTTTTTCGAGGTGTCAAAACTACGATCTTCATCTCGTTATCGCCAGTTTTGATGAAGCTTGTAATGTCCGCCGGTAAATCCTTCCCCCAAGCCGGTTTTCTCCTTAATTCAACATGATGACCATTCACTTCAATGAAGGTATTAACTGGCCAATCCGTTTCTTGTGATACCCATTCCTGGTCTGGAGTCAGAGGAGTGTTTTTTGTCCATTTGATAGATCGTAGTCGATATATGAGTGAACCTGGAGAAACCATTGGTCGAGTCAGTCCATCCCCTGGTTTGGTCCCTGGCCTAGTTTTCGAAAGTCTTTTTTCAGTATCCTCGGTAATATTGAATGTGACTTTCTGGCATGATTTTTTGAAATTGATCGCAACCCCTGGAAAAGCAAAATCGCTTATGCTAATATAAAGCTTGGAACGTGGTGGTGTGCTTCCGTTCACTCGAGGGGGTTCAGCAAATCTCGGACTCATGAGATGGGATTGGAGCGCATTTTGAGGAAGCTGCGCGTAGGCTCGTACCGGCGTTGGTAATGGGATAACACCACGCGGGCTAGGTAGCGAATTTACCATGGTGGTTGGGGCCATGAACTCGGGTCGCTGCGAGGGAAATGTTTGTTGTATTGGCTGGGTAGTCAGACTTGTATCGTTAACTTGTCGCATGTGCGCAGAATTGAGTACGGCCATGTCAGAGAATTCTAGCGGATGACCTTGGACGTAGCTTTGTCGGCGCGCTGGAGAGTTTATAGTTTGTTGCGGCGCGGCGGCAACCTGCTGGGCTGGTGTTGAAGCTACACGTCTCTGACCCTGTCCCTGTAGCTGTGATTGATTATATTGCTGCTGCATTCCCGGGCTAGGCGGCACGCGATTGACCATCCCACTAGGCGTTTGATTTGCTGTTGGGGTAACTATCGGGGAATGCATGTGAGAGCTGGGCATGGTGAGCCAGCTTGGGGTGTATGTTGGCAGTGGAGAATTATTGACAGAGCCGACTTGAAAAGGTTGGCTTCTCGCTAATTGTTGAGCTCTTTGGGTGTCGATGCTCAAGGGCATAGAAGCACCATTGCCTCTAATAACGCTAGAATTTGATGGTCTTTGTCCTTGAGTTGCGATGCGCTGCAACGCTGAAACATGCGGCTGTCCATTCTCAGCCCTTACGACATTGGCAGCGTTGGTCTGTTCCGATTGAATGGCTCCGCCGGTCGCTGGTATCTGCGGATTACTCTGAGGAGTGTTGTAAATAGGAACGGGAGAGATTTGCGGTGAAGACTGATGGTTGATTGCCATCTGCCGATGTTGGAAATTGGCCAGTTGTGGTTGGTAGTTTGGCGCAGGGTTTTGTTGTCGTTGCTGTTGCTGCTGCTGTGGCTGCACAGTTTGTACTTGCAATCGCTGCAATCGCTGCTGTTCCTGTAGTTGCTGGCTCCGTTGCAGTTGTTGCATCTGGATATTTTGGCCCTGCAAAGCTTGCCGGTGCTCTTGCTCATTTGTGTGCTCTAATGTGCTTACTTGAGCGGCGTGAAGTAGTTTTTTCACTTGGTGCTGGAGGTGACGAACAACTGTATAACGGAATACTGGAGCCCTGGTATTCCAATCCCGTGCAAGGTCCTCATCAGTCGGAACTCTTCCTGCCTTGAAGTAACAGTCCCTCATTCTTCCTACGATCTAATGGTGTCAGCTGACTAAGCAATCGTGTAAGAGATGAGGATCAAGTAGTCGCATTAAGCTAGCAGGACCAACCTTATATCCATCTGTCAGGAAATTCCTGACTTCCTCCAAGAAACTCGGAAAGAAGGTCAGTCGTTGTTTTGCATCCGCAATTGGCACCGGAAATGCCGCAAGGTATGTTAGGTTTCTTCCGCACAGCCGTTGATTGTCTTCAAGAAGCTCATTTAGCACCTGGAACCCGGGCAACGAAGCAGATATCCCAGTTTCTTTGAATAAAGTGTTTTGATCCTCGGCGTTTGATGTCAGAGCATATACCTGACTCATAATAGCAAAAAACCAATCTTCTTTGTTTATTGCTTCACGGAGAACCTTGAATCTAAAACATTCCACGGCGTTGAATAGTCGTAGGCCAACCCCACCCTCTGTTTGAATGAAATGATTGATTTGAGGAAGAAAAGCCCTTAAGGCCGTTTGAGAGGCCTGTGCTGGGTGCTGCTGTTGTAGTACCTGCTGAGGTCTTTGAATCTGCTGTTGCTGTTGTAATTGCTGCTGTTGTTGTAATTGTTGTTGCTGCTGCTGCTGTTTTAATTGTTGCTGCTGATGCTCCCGCCGAAGTTGTAGTTGTAGCTGCTTTTGATGCTGCTGGTGCTGCTGCAGCTGTTGCAGTTGTTGCAGTTGTTGCTGCTGCTGTAGCTGTGGGCGCTGCGAGTGGAACTGAGGGGAAGTTGGGCCCTGTGCTCGAAGTTGCGATGACAACGCCAAAGGGCTCCACGAATTGAGATCTGATATAGTGTTCGGCAAAGGGATACCCAACATTGGAGGCTGAGTCAAGGGCGACGAGGTTGTGGGCGGAAGTGACGTCGAATAATGCAGAGGCGCTGAGAAGGATTGCGACGATGGCGCTATGGAGGATGCATTTGAAGGGATTACTAGAGTCCTATTGGGTGGTATAATCGGAGACTGGGAACTTCGCTGGTTAAAAACAGGTGAAATTTGTTGACCATCTACCACAGGACTCTGTACACGACTATTCAAACCAGTCCCTGAACCTTGCTCGCCTGACCGAGGGATTTGAGTCGGTGGCAAAACTGCATTTCCCTCGGAGATTGGTAACATTGATGTTTGCTTCCGTCGTTTGGCATTTTCGGTATGATCTTCTGTGGTTTCGAATACCCTTTTTGATGACCCCCGGGGTAATCTATGATTTTCTGGGTTACTCATCGTTTGTATATCCTTCTCCCCAGTGATGCTGGACGAAAGCTCTGTTTGTGTTTCTCTTCGGGTACCAACAGCTATCACATGTTGTCCATCCTCTACTCTTCCATGCCTCTGATCTTGCTCACTGTCATACACCCTATCGGTTGGTGAGCCGATTGGTGTGTCTTGAGCCGCTGCCGATGTTACCCCCTCCTCCCCTTCTTCATCCCGCCTATCTATAGCTGATGGACTATCACTAGGCGCCGGTGAGGGTAGTACTGCCTCCATATTTGCACTAGGTAATCTCTGTGTTCGAGTAGGTGGTAAACCGAAACCTCGCGAGTCCGGGGATAAGGAGCTCGGGGGCGACTTTCCCGGTCCGACGGTAGCGAGTAGTGGTATTCCTTGGTTCTGGTCGTCAATGGTTATGATATTAGTAGTATTTCGTCCTGCGGTTGTAGATTGTGAAGGCATTCTGTTCAGTGGCGTTGTCCTTCTCTTGATGGGGTTTATCTGTGATCGAATTGTAGTTCGGACGGGTTCCCCGCCAGGTGTCGGAGTAGCATTGTGATTCCACATCCACGATCTTTGCTTGCCACCGACGAATGCATGAAGCGTGTTGTTGACCTTGTTCATCTCAGAACTGGACATACGTGGTTGAGGCGAAACGTCAGTTACCAGCAACTAGCGTAGCGTCAAGCGCGTCGAATGCAGAGAAATGTGTAGCAGACAAAGGGTTGCGTTTTTCGCGCGGAAAGTGTATGAGATATAGACAGATTCAGGGAGAACGTAATCACTCACGCTGCAAATGCTGTTGCATCTGATTTATCGACTGGTTCCTTCCTGGTTCTTTTGCCAGGGCCTCTTCCTCCACCTCCACCTCCACCTCCAATACCACTTTGACCCCCTCCACCAGCACTCACTCCCGCTGTAGCCTCAACCCCAACACTCGCATTGTTGGTAGATGCGATACTTGCTCCATTCGCGATCATTCTTGAGCAATTCTCTCCTCCTTTCCTTGTTCTTTGTTTCTTTCTTTATAACACAATTGCCAATTCGCTCTCTCGATCGATCAGCAGTTGATTACACAGCAAAAAGAACGAGGGCAGGCGGCTCGCTTATTATGGTATTCCTTATGTTCGACAATATCAGAATTGTCAGACCCAAATCCTCGGATTGACGTGGCGGCCAAAGATGGGTATGTGAACCCTCGAGGTGATGTTAGCAACCGATGGAGCGGGGACCAATCGCAGAGCAGAGCGTGGTTGAAAGCGCAGTTGATCTTTCTCGATGTGTTTATACCCAACTGGTGTCGTAAGTACGGTACTGTAGTACCATGTGGGTATCAGTTCTTCCTGTCATAATCAGAGTTGTGTTTGCTTTCTGTTTCTCAGAAAAACTTACCCCTGTTGTCCTTTTCTTTTTCACTTATCCTCTATTCCTGGTTTACACTTGCCACCCTTGCTATCTGCTAGGAAGTAGATGCTTCTGGATGTGTCTCTGGCTGTCTTGGCAGCCCCAATATGGGGGGTTATACAGTCCCAGATGAAGAATCTACTCAAGATTACTTGCCTGAAGTAAAATGTTTGTGTGTGCATAAGAGGACTATTCTTATATGCTTTATGGAAGCAAGGGGTCCAGAAAACAAGAAGGAGGAGACAAATTACATGTGGGCACTTCAGTATTTAAGTACAACTGAGTTGCAGTCACATGAGACATCCATTTTAGGGTGCCACAGCAGCAAATTGCGTTCTACAGTGGTAAATTGACGCGAATCCTGGCCTGTTATGGACTCGCTTACGTTAACTGTATGGGAGTTTGTGACTGTCATAATTCGCTCTCCCGTGCTCCTGCCGCCTGCCATTGCAGATTTATCCGTGGCTGAAGTTGATGCTGTGGTCTCTAGTTTTGATACAGCGAGAATAAGGTCAAACATGTCTCCTCACTTATGCCTATCTCCAGCATTTGACCAACCCTCCCTCTGCTACCAAAAGCCCGAGCTATTGGTGAAGTGTTCCATAATAGACCTACTACCAGTTAATTAAAGGTTTTTTTTTTTTTGCTAAAACCTCGAATTTGAGGCTCGATTAGGAAGATCTATCGCGTGGAATAATGCTATTTTGCTGTTCTCGGGACCTAGGAAGCACAATCCGTAGAATAATGCAAATTATGCTAAAATTGAACTAATGACGAACCCAATCGTTTTGTAATTTGTAAAATCAGACGACTTTAGCATTTGTGAAATGAACTCGAGTTCTTCTTACCCACTGTTCACAACACAGGGGGATTCCTGCCGTAAGTTCCCTCTATCTTTAAGGTCTGAAACCACATGCTGCAGTATTCTCAAAAGGATAAATATGCATACAACAAAGGGAAATGAGCACCAAGTTCTACTTGACAAGAGCTTCGGCAAGTATTCATGTCAAGTTTTCGCCGATATTTCAGGACACTTTGTGCTTTACCCTTGAGTTGAGTGATTGTAGTGCGCCAGGGTAAATGCTTAGTGACTAAGAAGACCACCTCCTGTGGGTGTCATCTGAGTATTGAGTAAATTTAAGTCTGTGATGGGCTCATATATGGAAGTATTGAATGCGTAGTAAAGGCAGAATCTGTACGGCATGCTTGGTTGCCCATTTTTATAGGAGAAGTATTTGTGACGTTGCTGTGCTGCTGTGTATCTTAATGTTGCTTTTCGCTCTGTGTTGGCCAAAGGGTAGATCAGACATGTACAGTTGTCCGAATGGTGCAGACAGCGCGTGTTTCCGCTAGCTTTGCCTGTTGAAGCCTTTGAAAGATTTGTTGTCAGGGAGATAGGAAAGCCACCGCTGGAGGTGAAGAGCGGGAGGGATCGTTGTAAAGAAGTGAGGAATCTTAGTACGTTTATACCGGGTGCTTTCTTGCCAAGGTTTGCTGTGTTATGCATAACTGACCGCATAATTTATTGAACTTGTGAAGGGCGCAATGATGCCCCCCACAGGTATTTGAGGGTCGTCGAACGAACAGCAATCACACCCGAAATCGAGTTCTCATGAGTCGCCTCCCCACATGCACTGGCTGTTTCTAAGTACGTGTAGTCAGCTCTGCATCAGTACTAAAGTACCTACACAGAGTACTCGTGTTTTCACAGCGTTTGTGAACACAACCAGCATTACATACACACAAAAAATAGCCAAGACAACCTTTTTGTATGGCATGCAATAGCGGTGGTGTTCACAAACGCTATGAATAGACGAGTATAAAGTGATCTATTTTCGGAATTGAAATTTGGCTGTCAGATCGTGGAGTTTAAAAGATCCCTCGTGACAAGCCGGTCCCCCCGTGGGTGTAAAACGTCTTTTACCAGGTACTCAAGATGTCAACCAGTCAAAGAAATTAGACGTTGTGTCTGTACGGCAGCAAGCAATAAAAGTCGGTAGATCAGGGGATGTATACGTAGGAGTAGGTGTCCTTACTCTATGTATGAGTTCCCGCCCCTGTTCTTCCCCTGACCCTGTTACTGAAAGCAGTGGAGATGATTTGGCAAGTCGGGCATCAGTCCGTCATGCGTTGGATTTGACTGGTGAGTATCTGTTCACACACAAAACGTTTGGATGAAGTGAGGTGGGGGAAGGAACACTTTGTGCAACTTGCAGCGGGACAAGGGGATTTGCTCCGCCATCATTATGTAGGTTGGCCCGGGCGTTGCTGCTGCGTACTCGCGCTGTAGCACAGGCTATTATTCCCATCATCTCTCGACCTGCCTCGGAAGGATCCCCAACAGCGTCACCAAAGAAAGAGAAGAAAAAGAAAGTCAGCAAGGTGGGTTTTTGATAAGGAAGAGTGAAGTGGGGAATGTGTGTGAAGGCGACAGGAGGCTCTACTCTACATACATTCTGCGATTACTCTTAAATTGCTATTACTGCATTACCACGAGCTCGACAACTTACTGCTTCTCCAACTCCTTTCATCTATTCCTCCCTGCCCTCTCTTCCCCCGCCTTGAGTTCCCGGTACCCTTCTCCGTACTCAAAAGTACATATAGGGCAAACTCAAGAGCCCCACAGCTAACACGCAGGATTCACGCCAACAGTTCTCGCCCATACAACGTCGAATCTGGCCAGGTGTCCACACTCCCGCTTGACGGGTTTGCTTCCCTAACCCACCCTCTTCTCCTCCAACCTTCCACACCCCCATCCGGTAGCCTCGAATAGGCTCGTAAGCTACGCGTTAGGGGTAGGTAGGCATACTACAAGCGGGTGGAGTACGTTGGGTTCTCTGGGGAAAGACCGAAGTGCGAGGCGGCGACATGGCTGAAGCCAGGAGCGATGCGGTGACTGGAGATGGATCCACGACTAATGGACAATATCACATACCGCTCGCCGTTCCGCCACCACCAGTACCGGGCATATCAGTTTTACTGCAGGTGCTGCACAATTTTGAAGCTCGCACTCCCGACGAACTTACGTTGCGCAAGGGAGAACATATAGAGCTGTTGCAAAAGGACGGTAGGAATTGACCGGCTCCTCCGCGTCTCTTCATAACTCTTCAACCGCTGACCATTGCAACAAAGACGAATTCGGAGATGGGTGGTATATGGTGAGTCCGCCAGATTCTTTGTTACTTTACACTTTTTCTTAGACCCTCGCTTCCCCACCTTGCCCCTGACCGTCACTGCCTTTGGCACTGGAGGAAAAGGAACCTAAGAAGATGCCCACCTTGCTGCTGGGGATTTGTTGGTTCCTTATCGCGCGTGCATTGCATTGCCGACTGCGTTGTACCTATGCAAGACGCGCGAACCATACTCTACAGGGAGATAGTCCACCAACCAGCAGCCTGGATTCCTCCCGACAATTGCTTTCGTGACAAGGGAGCTCCGATCTTGATGGAAATCACTCGCTAATACCTGATTTCGGGGACAGGGCCGCTCACTTGCAAAAAACGAAATTGGGCTTTTTCCTCAAGGTGAGCATTTCATTCTTGGGTGGAGATATATGTTGCGGGGTTATGCGTTGTGAATTGTTTCTGCGATATCTACTCCACAATGCAATCTCACGGGGATAACCGGAAATCATCACGCGTGGCATGTGGTCTGTGTGGAATTGTTATGCTAAGTGTGACTTGCGTTCTTAAGTGTACACCACCCCAGTGACTACGACCATGTTCCAGTCTTCATCGAAGAATACACAGTCATCTGTCGCCCCTTCATCGGCAGGTCCAAGTTCGATTTCCACCGCCACAACAACCCCAATTGCGGCTCAAACCTCGTCAACATACACTCCTGACCCCCCTCGCCCGTCTTCGCCCGCAGATTCCCACATCTCATCCTCGGACATCGATGAGCCGCATGATCAGACAGAACCTTTAGCTGTCGAGAAAGTTGCAACGGGGAGTAACACACCGACTGCTAGCACGCCGGGAGGAAGATTGATTCCTGCAGCAATTAATACAGAAGATAAACAAATATACCCCCAGGGCGTGCGAAGTCCTGTTGTTGAAGACACTCTCAGTGATATTGATGAAGCTATAACCGAGATCTCGAACTCACGTCAGCGTCGAGCTAGCAGGATTAGTAACAGGCGTCATACATCGATGCAATCAACTGTTCCTACTCGAGCTCTTTCTCCTGCGGAAGAGGTCATCGAAGATTCGTCATCAGAATATTCAAGGCAAGACAATATAGAATCAAACTCAAACTCGGAATTCGAGGACGACGAGGAAGAGGACGAGGCCGGCGATCACGTATATCGAAACGAAGATCTTACTAACCACGAATACATCTATTCTGAGGCAGAAATCGGAACTTGGACCCCTTACCAGGTTTCCCAATATCTTCAAAGCAGAAATATCCCGTCAGCGACTTGTCAAAAGTTTGAGGAGGAGGAAGTCACTGGCACAACGCTGTTGCAGCTAGAAATGTCCCACTTAAAGGAGTTGGAGATTGGCAGTTTTGGCAAAAGATTTGAGGTATGGAAAGAGATCGAGAACTTGGTTAAAAAGGCAAAAACAGTTGTTCCGGCAGTAGTAAGGCGCAGTGGTAGCGACGCGAGGATGTCGACATCAAGCTACAACAGCAAAGAAAGTGCTCGTCAAAGGAGCAGCACGGTTACTGGCGGAACGGTATTGCCGCGAATTCAAAGTCAGCATAACCGAGTCTCTTCGCGCCAACAACATCGTATTAACGTTCATGATGCCAACCAATTAGATGTCAATGTGCTTGGACATGGGCCTCTCCACACTCCAATGACCGCAACAAATTCGACTACTCCTTCTGCGCCACCACCTTACGCAGGTGTTTTTGAGGCTCCCCGGTCCCCTCCAATCTCCCCACAGCGAAATGCAGATACGGCTGGGCATTATCGTCGGTCGAGTGGTAATAGACGTCTCTCTAGCCAGGAACTGCCAGCTACTGCTCTTAACGCGGCTTTGTCAGCGAGTGCTGCCGTACTTACAGCTGGGGGGAATGATGGAGTCTCGCACCAACGAGGTGGATCATTCGATAGGAATTGGTCGATTCCATCGTTCGGAGGAGGACTCAAGTCAAGTGGTGGGACAAAAGCGCCAGAGAATGGGCATAAATCGAGTAACAGTATTGGTACTGGAGATTCAGTTTTAACTGCAGATAGTGGGTTCTCGGGATCCCAAACCCATGCCCCCAAAGTGACAGAACGTAGCTACTTTTCAAGCGGAGAATCCACCCCCAGAGAGCGTAAAGTCTTGCAAAAGAAGAATGGGGGTAATCATGCCAGAAAAGGTAGCTACATCGAAGAACAAAGGCTGAGAAGTGCTACAGCTCACAGCCGTCAATCGAGAATCGGGAGCGCAGGCTCATCGGTCGAAACATCGCGAAAACCTTCGCCAATCGTTACGGCGGCCCAAGCTTACCATGCTCGTGGAAGTAGCAAAGATAAGAAACGGATGAGTTCATTTAGTGGAGCTCCTGAAGGATTCCCATACGATGCTCCAAGGCTTTCACCATCCCCGTCGAATAAGATAATCAGTCCCCCAAAGAGGAATGCTGATGAATCAACCATCGGCTTTGCGTTATCACCCAGCACACCACCACCTTTACCAAATTCTCGCTCATTATCCGAGCAACTAACTCCTCAAGGTGAATCTGGTGGTCGTAGTTTCAATTCGCTGGACGGTTCAACTCCTTCTATTAGCGCAACAATAGCCTCAGACCCACTGCGTATTGTTACACCTGGTACTCCCGAAAAACCACCAAAGGTATCATCATCCGCGGGCCGTCGTATCCGTGGCGTTTCGTCGGGAACTGCCCTCCGTACAAAGTCAAAAAAGCATAGTACTAGTGCTTGGGAGAAAGGCCTTCGTGAAGTAACTCCTCGAGAGGCGGCGGAAACGGCTGACTACAGCGGCTGGATGAAAAAGCGTGGGTCCAGTGGAATTGGTGTTTGGAAGTCTAGATTTTTTGTGTTGCAGGGTCGTAGATTGTCTTATTTCTATTCAGAGCGTGATACTAAGGAAAGGGGATTGATTGACATTACATCCCATAGAGTACTCCCGGCGACGGAAGACAGGCTTGTCTCTTTGCATGCATCCTTTGCTGCAGCAACAAGCCCAAGTGCAAGTCCTGCTATTCCAGCCTCCGGATCCCCGCAAACATCAACTACAGATACTGGTGCACAGAAATCGCCAACATCACCATCCTCAAAAGAAAAGGGTAAAGAAGTCGAAAAAGATAAAGGGTGGTTCACGTTCAAGCTCGTCCCTCCTGCTCCTGGTGCCACCAAAGGCGTTACGTTTACCCCGCCAAAGCTTCACTACTTCGCAACCGACACTCGAGATGATGGGAAAAAGTGGATGGGCGCTATTATGAAAGCAACTATCGATCGAGATGAATCAAAACCAGTCATATCCAGCTACAATGCAAAGACTATATCACTTGCAAAGGCTAGAGAGCTAAGAGCTCGCCCTCCAGATTTGTTGAAGGAAGGCGAAGAGGACCAGGATTCGTTATCGGACTTATTGAGCGCGGGATTGGCGATATCTGGGGTAGATCTGGGAGTTGCAGCAGGGCAGGAAGCGCAGGAAGCGGAGGAGGCGGAGGAGGCTGATGTGGAAGACGAGAGGGATGAAGTGCTAGAAGGAACGGAATCCGGGCTTGGCAAGGTGGATAGCATCAGTAGTTCGGCACCCTCCCGGGAAACAGGTGACCCAACTGAGGGAGATGTGCAGGGAGAGAAGAACACGTCAAATCCATCTAAGTCCAATGGGGTTGCAGCAACGACCGATCTGAGTATTGTTGCGTAATCCTTCTGTGGACGAATGAACACCTTCAGAAGGTTTGAGGAGTGCAATTCAACGGAGCTTTCTCTTCTCTTCTCATTACCAGGGGCTCTAGTTTGTTAATTTTTCATACATTTTAAGGGTGGTAACTATCTTCTTTGTAGTATCTTCTCGAGTCATTCTCTCATCTAATTTTCCTTTAATTTTTGTCTTTTCCTTTCGGTTTTGGCGGGCCTACTACTTCTCGTATTTTATGGAAGGACTATACTAGCAATTATTGGCACCTGGGCGGGGGTTGGTGTATGTACTGGTAGTTTCGTTTCATGTTCTCTGGCTCAGGGAGTTGTTCTTTTTTTTATTTATTGCTTTTATTTTTATATTTCCTCATTTCGTTTAATGTTTGACAGGTGCACGCACATGTGCATTCGCTAAATCGATTGGACATTATTGGGAACTAAGGGGTAAGCTCCTCCGAGGCCTGTATCTTCGCACTGTTCCGGGTTATAGTTTCGGGGAAGGGGGTCAAAAAAAAAAAAAAAAAGGAGGTTTGGGGGGGGGGGGGGGGTGCGCTTCTATTGAATTCGGTATATCTTCGTGCGGAGGTTTTGCTGGGTGAAGGTGTTTCTCTGCAATTTCCTTACTGGACTCTTATCCCACCTGGCCTTTAAAGTACATATTATCTCCATTTATGTTGGGTTTTCTCTTATTTCTTGGTCTTTCTCTCCAATATACCCAATTCTATTTTTTACCCCCACCCGCCTCAACCGTAACCCTTATGTATGCTGAATCATTGGCTTTGGGATACAGAGCAAAGAAATGGAAGCCAACGGCGAGAACAAACAGGGGTGAGTGATGTCCTCGCTAGTCCCTAGAAGAACTGGACTAAACTGCATGCATGTATGTACAGTATGGTGGGAAGACTTCACTCCAGTCGCCAGAGACAGGTCCCCGGTTGGGCAGATTAGGCCATTGAATAATAGCTATCGAGCTTTCCTTTCTGCTCTCTGAATTCTGTGCAGTAGAATTGCGGATGGCCAAAAAATTGGCAGAAATATAATGTAAGGCATAGGAATAAGGAAGCCGTCGGGAATGTGCAAAGGCATGACGATCAGAACGGTTAAACATTGCAGGCCACGGCTTTGCTCCGCCCCACTGCAAATCCACGCGAACTGTTCGTTATTTCACATACATCTGATTGAATTGGCTCTCCCCTCTGTCCTCTCCCACGACCCTGCCTGCGTTTGCACGAGGATCATTCTGGCCTCCAATGTAAATCAGGACTGTGGTTGTTATGAGCACGTTGAAGGATTACGTGGCCCTTATTAAATAGTACCTTCCAGAGCAGAGTATAAAACCGGTCACGTTTCTTCTACTTTCGGCTTTATCCTCCGACTACCAAGTATTGAGGCTTAACGCTGAGTGGAGCAGGGTCGCGGCTGTTTGTGGTTTTGACTTGGGCGTGCCTGAAAGCTTATTGGTAAGGCTGATCTAAATGACTGTTGCTGTTGAGGTGCGAAGTGCGTGGTAAAGCAGAATTAATGGTAGTGGTTACATACCAAAAGCCCCTGATAGTAGTTCGAGACCGCTTGTTGCTTCCTTCTATGTCGGTGCCCTAGGCTTGGTATAGTTGAAAGGCTATGGAGAAGTGCCATTTTTCATGCGGTGATGTGAATAATCATATCGGGAGCCGTGGTATCTGTTTCGGGGAAGTTGGCATTCGGCACCTTGTTCGTCAGGAATCCTCGCGAGGATCGTAGGATTATCTATTTTAGGTAGCAAAAAGAAAAGATAGAAAAAAAAGCAATGCGCTCTCCAAGGTTTACATGTGCGGTAGCGAAAAGACAAACAATCGATAAAAAAGTAAAATAAGGGATGTGATGTATAGGAATCCTTTATTCTATCTCCACCCCTCAGAAAGGACCTATCTGTACCAAGTGGGATCTTAACGAGATCATTTCTGGGTGGTACAAAGATACAAATCTGCGCCACTCTTTTGCTGTCTGCGCATCCATTTCGCTTTCGGCCTTGTGGGGTAGATAGAGAAGAGATACACATAGGATTTGTAGTAGAAGGGTGCTACCGTACTAGTCACATCAGCAGGCTCTGGGCGGGAATAAGTGAGGATTAATTCGCTTGTTTACTTAACTCAGTTGCAGAAGAATCCCGGTTCCGGAACTAGCATTCCGGGTTGCAGCTGAACTGAGTACTGACAGAACGGCTACTGACCTTCCTTCCGGTTCGGCATGATTACCGCGTCAGGCCGGTTGACAGTATGTGAGAGCTTGTAAGAGTTGTGGTACTGAATGTGTACAAAGCGCTTGGAGAGCTTGGTAAACTTAGTCGAGCTATGTATGTACTCACCGGGACTTACTTTCTATTCCCCGGCGCATCAAGAAAGACGAGCCAGATGGCCTAGCCAGGATAGGGCTATCGGGTAAGCCAAGTTAGAAAAAAAGTATTTCTGACAAATTATCCTGTATGTGAAGGTACTGGTGTCGATGAGCGAAGCCACGTATTTTCCCTGGTGATATAAGGCTTTATCAAGAAAAATGGCTGCCAGTAGCCAAAAGCGCCCGGGGTCATGTCCAATATCAAACAAATACAGTACTGTATCTACGGACAATCCCATAGCGAGAAGACCTAGCTAAAATTTAGTATACACAATTATGATATTTTTTAGAGCACATACTACACACTCCAGGAGACGGGCACACGCTTAGAGTCAGCAATCTTCCGGTTGATTCTTTTTTGAGCCTCGTGATCGATCTCCAGCCATGCAATTGCCACGCCGAATGTTGGTGCCTGTATGTTGTGGAGTTTGTATTGAACAATACTACATGTAGTTAGGAATTGATTGTGAGCCTGTTGCCTATCTAGGCTGCCCTCGTAGATAAAATATTCGTACAAACCTTGTGTATCTACATATTTCGCTACTCCCACTTGTGATATTTGTGAGTGGTGTTTGGGGTTGTGACTCATAACTATCGGAATCCTTCGTAATATGGGGAAACCATAGGAGGCATGAGTAATACTGATTGTTACATCATGGGGTTGTGGAAAAAGGAAAGAAACACTCACATGGAAGAACCCGAGAAGGTAGAGGAAGAAGTGAAGAGAGAAAGGCGGCCCTGAGATAGAGGCGTAAGGCTAGGTATGTAGTACCTAAGGTGGGTTATCAACACAGAACTGGTCGTGCAAAGGATCTGTGGAGTCGTGTTCAAACAAACTTATGTACATCTTAGTATGTGTTAAGCTGTATGTATACTCTGGGTACATGTACATCTAGCTGGTTAGATCCTCGAAGATAAGATCTTTGTTGGCTACATCTATGATACATGTAGTTATGTATCACAATTTAAAGAGACATCTGACCCCGGTTCATGAGCTGCCGCCTTCGCCTCCGTTAAACTAAGCAGCCTTGCCGCCTGTCAAAACCGAAAAACCAACCTGGAGGAAGAGAGAAATGAAAAGAAAAAAAATGCTAAAGTGCTTCTAGAGTGACTGCTACGAGATAATAAATAGATAGGTACCAGTCCCGCGACTCGCTGGGGTTGCGGAGAGGATCCTCTGAGCTGTCGCACGACATCATACACCAGAGTATTTGCAACCCATAGGCAGGTAGACCCGCAGGACCAGCTGCATCTTCCTGCACGCCCCTCCAAGCCTGCGCCCACGCCCGTTTGGGCTGTAATTGACAGCCTCACCACTCAACCACTCACTCACTCAACTCCTCGGTGTTCGGGTCTCGCGTCGCCCCAGACAACAGGAGTACTCTAGAGCACCTAGAGAGCTTCACCAAACCGTAAGTGTGTTTATGTTTTACGTAGGGGTCTGCCTGCTTGGTTGATTGCTTCACTCTGAGCGCATCTTTCTGTGTGCGTCTCTCTCAGTCCGTCTATCACTCACTTTCAATCACTCTCACTTCCTTACTCTGCTGGCCCTCTATTACCTGTTGTCATAGCTGCTGCCCAGACTCCACCTCTGCCTCTGCCTCTGCCTCATCCTGCGCGTGCTCCTTCTGAGACGAACGACACCCCTCAGTGCGTTTCTATCTATCCTCCGAATCTCCTCCAAACAGGCCTCGACACCTTGCGCTCTCCGCCTACTTTCGCGGCGAAACAAGGTTATCATTAAGCTCCCTACCTCCTTCACGCTCACAGCTCACCCAAACCGCTGCTTGCACCCCTCCATTACCCGCCTTGGTTGGTCCACGCAACAAATTTCAGCCGACTTTTTCTTTTTTCTTTCCTTTTTCTGTCCTCTATTTCTAGCTGGTTTTGTTTCTGTTGGAGGTGTTCTGCTTCCTTCTTTTCTTCCGTCTTTACTCACATTTCTCTCTCCCTCGGCTCCCTAGGAAGAAGCAAAAATAATATAGCCATCACGGAATAGTCGACTGCCTACAACTTCACACTTCCCTGTCATGGCTTCCCTGAATACTTCTCAAGAAGCCCTTCGCGATAACATTCGATTCTGCCAGCAGCAAATGGATACACACAACCTTAACGACCCAAGACAACAAGAATGGGGAAACTCAATGGGAGAAATGAAAGACCAGCTGATGGATTCATCAGGTCAAGGAAGCAGCGGGAGTGGAGATTCTAGTCCATCATATGGAAACCTGTCGTTGGGACACGGCGATCGTGGGAGGAAACGAGATAGAGACCAGGATCCGGTCGAGCTTCAGTATCTTGGCATTCGTGAAGCGAAGTCACAGAAGACTACACCGAGTCCAATCCCCATGGCACTACCGGGGATTATGGATACTGGAAATGGGGGGAGCTCGTATGGGTATCTTCCGCGACTAAGGTAGCACACATTTCATTTATTCAACAACGAGTAACCTTATTCTAGAAATCTTTCATACTACCCTAATAATAGGATTATTATTGACGGTATTAGGGATCCTGGGTTATCTCTATCTCGGTCTGCGCCAAATTTAGTCAACCTCATTGACCGAGAGAATGAGATAGGGCGAATTTCAAGCAATAATCTGCAGGAATCCCAGCTGTTCAGGCATATGCAGCCGTCACATGTTGTGTTACAACAATCACAATGGTCTCCTAAAGATATAGATAATGAAAGGTTCTTAACTTCTACCCATATACCTCTCCTTACCTCTCCATCCTAATCATTGTTAAGGTCTAGGAATTCGAAGGCGGCCGACGAGGAAATAGCCAGGACCCTCCAAGATCTTTATAATCCCGAATACTCTTCAAGTGATTTCGGGGAACCCGGTCGTTCAGAACAGGTTGCGGATTCTCCCTTTTCTTCGCCACTGAGACCTGCTAGAAGCCAGATGTATCCCTATGTTCAGCCTTCAAATTCTATCGCCCCCCAAAATCGGCAAATTATTGAAGTTGATGATGACGAAAATGATAACGAAAATGGTTATTACCCAAACGGGGACTTACGGCTACCGCCCATGCGAACAAACGGAACATATGAACCACAAAGAAATACTGATATAACCAGCTACCAGGCAGGTCGATGGGGACTTTTTGACGAAGATTTCGACGACTATGATTTAGAACCGATTATCAATGATCCATCACTAGCAATCGTGGACAGTCAGGGAAATTTGCTTCAGGATTTGGGTAAACAGTATATAAATGATGACTGGCTTATACCTAATTCTCAGTCTCGTTTCAAACCCGAAATCCATAGGTACATCGACCACATCCGCCACGATCCCACCAAAAGTTTAGATGAGATCAAGACCCTGATGGAAAATATCCGACCCGACATGGAAATACCCCCAGAGGACCGCGAGGGGACTCCTCCAGAGATGACCTATCCGCTTATGGAGCATCAAAAGCTTGGCTTGGCTTGGTTGAAGTCAATGGAAGAAGGAAGTAATAAGGGCGGAATCTTGGCGGATGACATGGGCCTTGGGAAAACGATACAGGCACTAGCACTCATGGTTTCCAGAAAATCTACCAACGAGGCTAGGAAAACTACGCTGATCCTAACACCTGTTGCACTATTGAAACAGTGGGAGAGAGAGATTAAGGTAAAACTAAAGCCTGAAAATAGCTTGAAAGTTTGTATCCATCATGGCACTAGCAAAAAGGCCAAGTCTTTTGCAGACCTTGCAAAGTTTGATGGTAAGTTTTTGATTGATTAGGTCACCCACTAACATGATTGCTAAATTTTATTTAGTTGTTCTAACCACCTTCGGAACCGTTGGTAACGAATATAAAAAGAAGCAGCTCTGGGAAGCTCAAGGGCGTGAGGGTTCTCCTCCAGGACTCTTTTTATCGGTGAAGAGAGCAAGTGGTATAGGGTCATTATTGATGAAGCTCAATGCATTAAGAACAAAGACACTCAGTATGCGAGGGGCTGCTGTTCCATTGATGCCGAATATCGACTTTGCTTGTCCGGAACTCCAATGCAAAACAGTTGCGATGAGTAAGTATTATCACGAACTAAGTGCTGATGGAAAGTCTGCTAATTGACCCTGCAGATTATTTTCACTCGTCAGGTTCCTCCAGATCAAGCCGTATAATGAATGGCCTGAATTCTCAAAGGTAGAATATGAAAAATAAGTTTGAATTATGGCATTTTTACTAAAAGAATGTGGAACAGAACTTCTCGAAACCGCTCAAGGGCAAAAACGAGTTCTCTATCACTACAGCGATCAGAAAGTTACAGGCACTGATGAAGGCAATATTGCTTCGCCGGACAAAATCGTCAATGATTGATGGCAAACCTATCCTCACACTGCCGGAAAAGACAATCGAGATGGTGCATGCCGTTTTTAGCCCGGACGAACAAGCCTTCTACCAGTCTCTCCAGGATAAATCGGTTCTTGCATTCAACAAATATCTTCGCGCTAATACTGTGGGAAGAAATTATTCGAACATCTTGGTGCTTCTTTTACGCTTGAGGCAGGCATGTTGTCATCCGCATCTTATAAGGGATGCCGAGATGACGAATAATGAGCCGGTTGATGATAGAATGGGTCAGCTGGCAAGAGAATTAGCGCCAGATACCGTGGCTAGACTCAAGGATTTTGACGCGTTTGAGTGCCCAAGTATGTTTCTCAGTAGCTATTCAAAGTGACTGGACTAATATCTTTATAGTTTGCCTTGATGCCGACGAAAACCCCTCAATAATTATACCTTGCGGTCATGCGGTATATATCCTTCTCCTTCTCTGTGTTCAAACACTAACATCAGTGCGTCTAGTTCTGTTCCGAGTGTCTTGCCAGACTCCACACTCAGCATCTAGACTCGACCATGCAACAGGGCGATGAGGATAAGGGGGGGTGCAGATGTCCTAAATGTCGGGGCGAGATAAATGTGGACAAAGTGATTAACCTGGCTACCTTCCGTAAAGTTCACCAACCAGAAACCTTAAAACCTGACGATAGAGATCATAATCCGGAGGATGATGACCTGATTTTTGATACGGATGAAGATGAAGAGGGGGATGAAGAGGAGGAGGAGGATGAAGATCTTGCCGATTTTGTAGTTCCTGATTCAGAAGAAGGAACTGATGATGGTCTTGAAACTTCTGATCGTAAAAAGCCTGCTAAGAAGGCTCTGAAGAAAAAGGATGCTAAAGGAAAGGGAAAGGCGAAGGTGAAAGCCCCGCCAAGAACTCTCGCGGAGGTTAGAAAGGATGCCATGAGAAATGCTAAGAGCAAGAGGCAATGTATGTGCTCCCCCCCCCCCCCACTTAGAAAGTCGCGAAAACTAATACCTGTTTAGATATGAAGCATCTCCAGAAGCGGTGGATAAGCAGTGCTAAGATTGACAAATGTGTCGAAATTCTCGAAAGCGTTGAACGAAATGATCCAACGGAGAAGACGATCGTTTTCAGCCAGTTTACATCATTATTGGATCTTATTGAAGTGCCGATTAGTGCTAGAGGCTGGAAATACAGGCGTTATGATGGCGGAATGTCGAGCACACATCGCAATCAAGCTCTCTTGGACTTTACAGATAAGCCAGAAGTCAACATCATCTTGGTCAGCCTCAAGGCGGGTAACTCCGGGCTGAATTTGGTTGCTGCATCTCAAGTTATTATTCTGGACCCGTTTTATAATCCCTTCATCGAGAGTCAGGCTATCGACCGTGCACATCGGATCGGTCAACAGCGCCAGGTTTTTGTCCACAGACTTGTTGTAGAGAAGACAGTCGAGGATCGTGTTCTTGCGTTACAAGATAAGAAAAGAAAATTGATTGAGGGCGCTCTTGATGAAAATGCTTCCAAGGGCATTGGCAGGTTGAATTCGAGAGATTTGGGATTCTTATTTGTATGTTTTTGACCCCCAATCTTATGCGCTTTATACGCTACTACAGAAACTAACAACATTTTAGGGTATTCCAATTCATGATTAATTGCGCAACTATATACATATATTTTTAGTTCTCAGTCAACCCTAGATATTCATATTCCACCCTGGACGCTATGATATGTTGGCTTGAACTCATGGGGTATTTTTACTTTTCTGGAGTATCATGTATTGTCCCATTCATTTTACTACTTACTATCCGTTTTTTATTTTTTATTTTTTTATTTTTTATTTTGCACGGAAATCTGTTTAGGCTTAGAGGATATACTTACCATGGATGGCGTTTTTTCTTTTTCTTTTTTTTGTTGCATTGTCATTCCCTTTGTGGTTTATTATTTTATTCCCTTGGTTCATTCATTTTCCACGATTCATGGTCTTTATCGTTTCCGGTCTCATCTTTTTCTCCGATTATTTACATAGGGTGGTGCTTTTTCTTTAGGGGTTAAGGAGCTAGCTATACAAATTTAGGTTAAGGAATCAGGGTGTAATAGTTGCTATTAACGTTCATAAAAATCAATTATCTAGGTTTTATTTTGCCTCGTGTAGCCTGCTAATTGTGAGTACTGCCGTATGCTATGCTATATTTTATTTCAAGGTGCGAATATTTTCACCATACCAATAATACACAACAAACGAATTCCCAAGCCCCTACTCATTATTGGGATCTCAGATAACCAGTAACAGTATAAGAGAACTGGCCGCGTGTTTTTATGAAACAAAAATTACGATATCACACACCTGTAGGTACTGCACATGCCTCCAGCTAATCATCAATAAACTCATGTTGTTTCATCACTCGTATTTAAACTTTCCCTTCCATACCAAAACGCTTGCAAAACGGGCCGAGGGCAAGACACAAGGGAAGGGGAAAAACGAAAGAAAGGCCATTCCGATTCGCCGGGTGATTGGGGCCACCACAAATGCAGGTAGGGTAGAGGTACATATGTATGTACGTACCTCCGAATCTACATATCTGTTTCCCATAAAGTGGTCCAAGCTCTAGCCTGGTGTGGTTGGTGTGGAGTAGGTTAGGTGGGAGAATTGATAGGAGGAGGAGGGGGAGGGGTAGCAGGAGCAGGAGGAGGAGCAGGCACGATCAAAAAGGTTCTGGGGTACCGCTTACCACGTGTGATTGGAATCGAGATTTAATCGATGTTTCAGGTTTCGATCACGCGCTTCTTGACCGGGAAAGTTGCAAGGAAAGGGTGGGCAGGCGGGTATGCTCGATAGACATAGATTGTCTCTCTATCTAGAAGTATCAATCTATCGTACCTACATATCAGCTATATTTTATTTTTCACGATCGATCTTTTCAATGGGATGATGATATGGTTGTTCTTCATTCTATGTATGTATGCTAGCTTTTTTTCTTCTTTCGCCGGATGGAAGCATTCATATACCGGGGTTATGGTAATGATGATGGGGTGTGCTGAAACTAGAGAGGGGGAAAAACAAATCCCTACCAATGACGTGCCATGCACAGATAGAAGATTCCACCAACGAGTGATTTTTGGTGCTCCAACCATTGGTGGGTGTGTAGTGTTGCCAAGAGCCATGGGGTGCGGTAACCGCCAAGACGCTTCTGGAATCATTTCCTCAGAAACAACGTCAGGCAAGGGACCGACTTGCTTCTCTTGGCACAATGACCCGCGGAGGATTTCTCCCCCCGTTCCCCGCTTACTCTACAAATGATGGTGATAAGAAGCGAGCGGAGAGAGGTAAGGGTTGCCCAATTTACAGATTAGTTATGTAACACCAAGCTCGCTCCTCTTCCTTCACCAGAGCTTCAATCAAGGGCGCGGGGGGGGGGGGGGGGGGGGGCCGCGGCGCACTGCAATTACCCATTCTAACTTTTTCACTCAGGCAAAGAATCGTACGTCTGGGGCGGCCACTTACATGTGACTCAGAGGGGAAAAGGCCGGGTAGTTGCTGGGGGAATTAGTTCACAGAAATGACTGTCATTGGATAACTGTAGTCATAGGCGGTAGCAGGGGCAGGGCAGATGCTGCCGACAGGGGAGATTGATCTCAACGGCAGTGATCGCCGGATGATTGGGTTTGGTTTTGGCGGACGGGTACTTATCGTATCCCGTAGTGTTGGCTATCTGGGGTTTTGGGGGGGGGGGGGGGTGCCAAGACCCGGGCATCTGGTGTGCCAGTAGGATGCCAGTGAGGTTGGGCCTATGACTGAAGAACCCTATACAGCTATCGGTAGAATTATTGCGCAAACAGGGACCGACGATCACGCCGAGAGCAGGGCGATTTTCCAACGCCGATAGCTGTACAGTTGCAAGCTTCAGATTGGACCACAACCCAGAGAGTGTTTTTAGAGGGTAACGCGTTTCGAGAACTAATTGCAAACATGCATGCGCACTCGGAATATTAGTAAGGTTGGCTTTGTGTCCGAGACAAACCTACTAGTGTCCAAGATCTTGAGAGTATTTTTAAAGGGTTGCAGATGTTTGCTTCTTTTGGTCTTTTTGCTGTTTTCTTTGTCCGAAGGGCCGGGTACTGTCGTTCACGGGGTATTGACGGGCACTGGGTGCTGATGAATAAAACCAAAAAAGAGACAGCCAAGCCAAGTTTTGCCTGCAATCCGTCAACACCCAGTGTCCGCCAATACCCCGTGAACGATAGTACCTAAGTACTTTAGATAGTTGAATTGATACCCTGACCCAAGATCCCACGTCTATGTACTGTCATGTATCGCCGATCTAAGACCCTGCGAGAGTCCCGTATTACGCCATCACTAGGAACGATTTTTATGTCCTATTTCTCGTGTAAGCTGTGGCTTGTGTCTGAGTAGTTTGTCCATCCTTTCTGACAATTGTTTTGTCTAGATCCTAGAATAGGCAGCATCGAACACTGTTTTTACCAATTCTGAGCTGCATAATGACTTCTCAAAGCAGCAAGTCTCCCTCCTCTTTTGTATATTGCACCGCCACATGCTCATACACTTCTCTAGAAAAAAGTGTCTTTATTGATATATCCCTCTGGAATCTTCTATGGATAGATATATCTCTCGTCTCGGCGGTGTGCATTTGCCCGTTCGTAGTATAGTGTATAACCATGCGCACCTATGACTCATCTACTAGAGACTGAGTCTGGGACGCCAAATTAATATGACCGTCTTCGGCGGGGAGGCGAGGAATGGTGACTCTTGCGGCAAAGACGCAGCCTTCCAATTGATATTGCGCCTCTACTGCGCACTCCCAACCTCAACCCAAACCCAAACCCCAGCCCCCCCCCCCCCCCCGGCCCGGCACCCCGCACGGGAGTCATAGCACAGCTCGTCTAGAAGAAGTCTAAATTGACATGCAGGGTACGCGTCTGTACAGTCACTCACGGGGTGAAGGCGGATCCTGTCTGGTGGCGGTCAGGGATTTGAGGCCAATAAAAGAGTTAGGTTTTGGACGCCAAGGTACAGCAAATTACCGCAAACAGAACCATCAGACAGGATCCGCCGTTAGTAGGTGAGCGACTATATTCCTGAGTCAAAATAGAGACTTCCGGACCACGGCTACCTTTCTCGCATAGCTAGCGGAGCCCCGAGTCGATCAGTCCCGCGTTCCACTTATTGGTATGGTGCGAGAGGCCTTGGGGGACCTTGTCATCCCTGTTCGCATTAGTTCAGTATTGTAGCCCTTACAGCCATAAAGTCGAGTTAAGGGTGAGGCTCCTCAATGTTTGCTTCCCGGAGCCAACGAAGGAATTGACTGAAGTGGTGTGTACAGGGTTGACGGGGTCGCCCCTCTACTCCCTCTTGCACCATAGTTCAAACACCACATGTACTCAGGTACCGAATTAGGACCGTAGACATGCTCCCCGGAAGAACTTCTGATGCTATTAGCCACAATTGTGCTTTAAGCCCCGGCCCCATGCACTGTCTGAGAATGATGTCTTTTCTCTACCCTGACTTTGTAGCCAGCCTGCTGGCAACCAGTATTTTTGAAAACGCTAATAAAACCAGTGTTGGTAATGACCCACGACCCGTAACGACCGGTCAGTATTAGGACCGGGTCGGGGGCCCATCGGTCGTAGAAGGTAATGACCTAGGTCGTATTCTCCCCCGGGGTCGTATCATCAAGTTATGGGAGACTTGAGAAAGGTCTGTATTTTTTTCTAGTAGAACCGCCTTTCTTGGCACTGATACGACCTACATTCTGACCGGTCGAAGACCCTGTGGACCCATCAAAATCGTAATGACCCTACCCAAGATAAATCGTTAGGGCCCCTGGTCGTTACCAACGCTGAATAAAACACCTAGATGCAGTTAGCTAGACCACCGCAAGGGGTAGGTAGGGGTCAATGATATTTTCGCGGATAACGGTACCGGTGCTAGTCAACTAAACCAGCGCAGCGTCTGCACTAATTCCCCCTATGTACATGTAACTAATGCAGGCCACATGTAGTTAGTACCTCTACCATACCTCGACTAACCAACTCCAATTCCAACTAACAGGTCAATGATTCAATCTACCAGTTTTTTTCCCCCTAGGACTGTCGACGACAATCATTCAGTGTGCTCGCCCTCCTATTCGCCCGGCGGTCCATCCGGCTCGTGTAACGTCGCCACGTCGTATTGCCTGCCTGCCTTGCTTGCCTGGGCGCTTAATCCACCACCTCCTCCCACGGCCCGGGCCGCAATATAAACCCCGAAGTGAGTGAGCCCCGCCCACCCCATTGCGATAACCTGTACCCACGGCAAGAACCTGTCCGGCGCTGTAAGCAAGTAGTGTGTAACCCCGCAATGTTCCGCCTCCCCAGAGCCTGCAACCAACCCATCATCGACGCCGACGCCGATGACGGTGATAGCGATGCCTCAAGCAACTCGGCACCCACATCAGTATACACCGACAGCGACAGCGACGCGTCCGAAGAAGCCTACGAGCCCGGCCCCTCCTCCCGCAAGCCCAAACCCAAAGCTAAAGCACCTCCAAAGCGCAAGCGCGCCGCCCCCGCCAACTCCCCCCGCCAGCCCAAGCGCCCCCGCCAGCGCCAGCGCGCGGGAGCAGGAGCACTGGCAGACGGCGCCGGTGAGGGGCAAGAGCTCCGCACCGTCCCCGACGCGCTCGCGCCGTCGCTGATCTGTGTCCTGATCGGGCTGAACCCGGGGCTGATGACGGCGGCGGTGGGGCACATGTATGCGCACCCGCACAACCACTTCTGGCGGCTGATGCACGCGGGCGGGCTCACGCCGGACCGGGTGTGTCCGCCGGAGATGGACCAGCGGCTGCCGGAGGTGTATTCGCTGGGGCTCACGAACCTGGTTGAGCGCGCGTCGGCGGGGCAGGCGGATCTGACCAGGGCGGAGATGGAGGCGGGGGTGGCGGTGTGTGAGGCGAAGCTGAGGAGGTGGAGGCCCGAGAGCGTGTGTATTGTGGGGAAGGGGATTTGGGAGGTGATTTGGAGGGCGAGGAGGGGGAGGGCGCTGGCGAGGGACGCGTTTGTGTGGGGGTGGCAGGAAGAGGGGTGGGGTGCGGGGGAGGGGTGGGAGGGCTCGAGGGTGTATGTGGTGCCGAGTACGAGCGGGTTGGCGGGGGGGATATCGATGGAGTTTAAGAGGGAGTGTTGGAGGACGTTGGGGGACTGGGTGCAGATGAGGAGGGGAGAGAGGGGGGAGGTAGCGCCGGGGGTGGTGGGGGCGGGAGGAGAAGGAGGTGGAGGTGGTGGAGGTGGTGGTGGTGGTGCGGGAGGTGAGGGAGGTGAGGGAGGCGAGGGAGGAGAGGGAGGAGGAGGAGATGCGGAGGATGAAGGTCCAGCGGAAAATGCCTAGTTTGCAGTTAGTTTTGTTTATTTTGATTAAAAGTAATAAAAATTTTGTAGTATCGTAAAGGGTTGTCCGAGAATCACGGTATCTCACTCGCATGGTGGCTTCGTTGATAATTGGCCCAGTGAAGAATTCTGGACCGTAGGCAATCACAGCCTTTCTCTTAGTCGCCGCGGACGGGGTATTTGGCGGTACAATCGGCGGCGGTGACGAAAGTGTGTGGTATCGGCCTCGCTGCTCGTTGTGGGTGATGGCGATGGTGATGATGGAGGGGTGGGGAGAGGAAGGAGGGCCGACGGTGGCCTTGTGCGCGTCGCAGCACACCGAAGGCTCGCTGTGAACGAGGCCTGTGATAGGGTTTCATGACTGCTGTCTGTGTAGTAGATGCAATGAGTGGAGGAGGCCGCATGGTGTGGTGCGCTGCCTGAGATCTCCGCAGTACTGATCTCCGCAGTACTGACCCCGCAGTCACCCCCGCTGAATTGCTGTATTGCATGAGACTGACACTGGCTGCCCCTCGTAGATTGCCAGCAGCTAGGACGTACAGGCGGGGGGGTGGGTGGGATAAGTACATGTTATATGTATTGTCTTCAGCAGGATGATATGTAGGTCTTGGGCGACGCCGTCGTCGTGGGGGTTGAGTGTATACATGTATGCACTAGGCCTAGGTGTAGCGAAAAGTGATCAGAATCTGATGACAAAACACACGTATTCACCGCAACATTGGCTTATCAGATTCTGATCACTTACCCTCAACCACCCGGTATATACAGCGGTAGGCAATAAGTGATGAAACATAGTGATACCTGTTTTGGTAGAGCGCCACCGACATTCGGTGTTTATCTCAGGGCGTTCCATCACTTATTATCTCCCGCTGATTAATCAATTAAGCAAAAAAAAAGAAAGAAAAAAAAGAAATTTATCCCCCGCTGTACTGGTAAACATGTCGAGTGAGAACCCATGAAGCAATTACAGACTTGAGCAAAATCAGCCCAAATCCATCCCTAGGTGTAGTAGCTCTTTGGCCCATTTCCTAGCGCTTGGGCCCGTCTTGTCCACTAGGGTTAGGTTACATGACTGCATGTAGTGCAAAACCAAATTTATCACTACTCCAGCTACAGACACCAGTAAATATGTTGTACAGCGGTAGGTAGGTACATGTAATAAGTGATGGAATTAACGGCCGAGACATGTGCACAGTGATACCTGTTTTGAGTAAAACGCCGCCAACATACGGTGCTTGCAGGTATAACAAGTACAGCCACTCAGCAAAAGTGTTCGTGATTTAGTTTTAATGTCACTGCGCGGTGTGGCGCACCGGTAATACTGATGTTATTAAAGTTGAGATTCAAAACAACGAAAAATATATAATATAGTTCGTGACTACGTATAAAAAGAAGATAGGCCATTGATCTTATTCTTCATTAATTTAGACGCCATTGGTCACTGGGAAAGTCTTCTCTTGGGGGGGTTCTCGGTGGTCCGCCACGGTTACATATGGAGAAATGTCTCACTCCGAAATCGGAGTCACGAACACTTTTGCAGAGTGGCTGTACATGTAACTGTATCTCAGGGCATTCCATCACTTATTACCTGTCGCTGTACAGGAACCAATGATGCGGTACTACATGTATGTAGATACACCCATGGCGAGAAAAGTGAGGAAACAACATGACCTGCACTTAACATCAACCCCAATGACAGGAAGTACTTAAACTACAACATAAGAAAGAGATCGAGAGTATATATAGTACGGCCTCCCTTGAAGACGTGGGGTGAGCCAGGGGGTTTTGTTAAGCGCTACACCCGCCCATCCCGTCCTCAGCCGCCACACCAACCACCCGGCCTGACTGCGAACACGCCACAGAAGCAAGCTACGAGGAGCAGCCAGTGTCAGTCTCAATGCAGCAATTCAGCGGAGATCTCAGGCACCATGCGGCCTCCCTTCACTGATTGCAGCACTTGTAGGCCCAATCTTGACCTACTGCACAGACAGCAGTCACGAAGCCCTATCACAGTCCTCGTTCGCAGCGAGCCTTCGGTGTGCTGCGACGCGCACAAGGCCACCAACGTCAACCTTCCTTCATCCCTCCACCTCCATCCCACAACCATCGTCATCATCATCACTCACAATGGGCAAACCTACCACTACAACCCCGCCTCCAAGACTGAGCTTAACCACAGAAAGCGGAAGCTCGGCGAGAGGTCAAACTCGATGGAGCCTGAATGCACCGACACCGACCCCCTCGCCATCTTTGAAGACCCAGTCAGCGAGGTGGTCGACAGCACACACTCTGCGGCTTATCCCTCCACACCCCCGGGCCCCGCGAACCAAAGCCCTTGTGGTTCGGTCGTCGACTCCGACTATGAGAGCGAGAGCGAGTATAACTTGCCGCAGCCGCACAGCAGCACCAACGCCGAGCATTTGCAAGCCTGCAACTGCTCCGGCAACTACTGCTACAGCAGCGACGTCCTTGAAACCCAATCCTCTGAACCGGATGATGATGACGTTAGCAGCGATCTCCCAGAACCCTTGCTCGACGACGATGATGATTCTAGTGAGCTTAGCTCGCCGCCCCCACTTAGTGATGATGCCCTCCCCATCGAGAACGGCAGGGATGAGGTGACAGCGCCTCTGTCATCGAGCAGCGAGCTTGGTGATCTCAGCAGTGAGACTGAGCGGCTCGTCAAGGCTGAGGACGTTCTGGTGCGGGCATCCTCACCGGCTATCTCTTCGCCGCTGGTTCCGTCACCGCCGCCGATTGTACCGCCGCCGATTGTACTGCCAAATACCCCGTCCGCGGCGACTAAGAGAAAGGCTGTGATTGCCTACGGTCCAGGGAACAGAATTCTTTACGGCGCCAAGAGACAGAGACTGGCGAAATAGGGATTGAATGCTATATGCTGTGCTACCAGGGCCCAGGGCCTAGGGGGGACTTTATCTTTTACAGTACATATGTGCTACAGCGTGGTGATACATGAATGGGGAATTCTCTTGTTAGTATGTATTACTCCTACTTCTCAACGGCCACTTATAAAAAACATGCTAATGTGTTTAGAAACTCTCAAATACCACCGAACGAATCACTACATGTAGCCGTCGACACACAAATCAATCCCCGAAAAAAGTCACCAACCAAGCGAGTGAGATGTTGTGATTCTCAGACAACGATACGATACGATACGAAAAAAGATTCATGTTATTTTTAATCAAACTAAACCATGTATGAAAATAAAAAACAAAATAAAACAAAAGATTAACTACAAACTAGGCATTTTTTCCCGCTGGATCTTCTTCTTCCTCCGCATCTCCTCCTTCTCCTTCTCCTAATCAATCAACCCATTCAATACAGTCGCTCACCTACTGACGGCGGATCCTATCTGATGGTTCTATTTGCAGTAATTTACTGTACCTTGGCATCCAAAACCTAACTCTTTTATTGGCCTCAAATCCCTGACGGCCATCAGACAGGATCCGCCTTCACCCGTGAGTGACTGTACTCCGCAACCACAAAACCCTAACCCTTTATTATACAAGCAGGTATTATTATTATAAGGCTGAGGGGTACGGTGTAGACTTGGCAACCCCGAGTTATGGACTAACCTCAGTTACACAAAGTAACCCTCAGTTAACTACCCCAAAGTCCGGTCCATCGAACAAGACTGATACTTTCGCCAAAGGTTTGGAACCATAGATTGGTTTTAGATGGGATAATCGTTAACACTAGCCCTCCTCTGACCCCCACTCAAAAGGGTCAACATGTCTCTTGGTAGGAGCCATGGGAACCCCTAACTGACTGAGGAGCTTGACAGGTGACGGCGATAGGTTTTCGATATGTAGTCTCGAGATCATGGTCGCGTGCCTCTAGATCTCGCTACCCACACACACCCCCTGTACCGTACCACACCATGAACCGTTTTTTACTTTTTCGAACGTTGGTGGCTTGATCGGCGCGTGGAGTGCCTAGATACCCCGCTGCAACCACACTCGAACCTCAGAAGAAGGCGGCGGGGTGGGGGGTGGGAGGGAGGGCTCTTTATATACCTTCTTCTCGGAGAATTTTTTTTTTCTCTACATGCAGCCAAGAGTGGGGTGATCTACTGAGGTGAGGTGGTTTAAGGGGGGATCCGGGAGTTTCCAATTGATCTCGAGCACAGCACAGGCCCTTGATGTGTTGGCCTTCCGGGAATCCTTACTCTAGGCTCGGCCGTTAGAAGCCCGTTACGTATGTACGACCTCGAGGATGCCATATGTATTTCTTACCAGCTAGGCAGATAGATGTACCGAGATAGCTACATGCCCCCAAAGACATCTGCCGCGCGTGGGGTTGGGTTGTGTCTCTATACTCTGGAGCGCTGGCACCATTGATCATGTTTTTTCACGAACGTATGTTCGAGATGTAGTTAACAGGTAAGGTAAGTCGGTCAGTCTACTTCTACATGACAACTGCGAAAAAAAAACTCGAAAGACAGAAAGAAAGAAAAAAAACTGGCTATCGCCGTCCTTGGGAGTGATTGATTGATTGGTTGGCTTTCTCATAGAGGTGATTTTGAATCTCTCACGGGCCAGCTAGCTAATTTTTCCTCTGCTTTCGAGGTTTGGCAGCAGTAGAGTAGCTTGCGCAGTTGCTAGCTTGTCTGCATGGTGCAGTTATTTATACTCGACCCCCTAGATTAGCTTGTTTCGAAGCTGTGAGAGATCTAGTCTTTGAACTAGGCTCAGCTCCGTGTTGCGGGTTTCAAATATCTCATGTCTCTCTGCCAGCTACCTGACGGTGTCTTTCAACCCAAGGAGGGAGGTCTAGGCGGACAGCTAACTAACTACGTACAGGAAGCTGTCAAAAAATCCGAGTTAACGGGCTGTGTTGGGGGAGAAGATTTTTCATTGGGAACGTTAACTAGTGAGTGGGGTTGGTAACCAGATGGATAAAGAGGGGATGGGATGAGATGTGGTGGCTGTATGTACAGCCGACGTTTTAGCTGTTAGATGTCATACAAAAAAATGTGGCTTGTATGTACTGACGTTTTTTGCTAATACAAAGCTATACAGAAGATGTGCTGGGCTCACGGGTTTGGGTTTGGGCTAGCACTGGCCTGGTTTACAAATGCCAGGAAGAAAAAAAAAATATCGTTGTAGTCGTCGTTGTCGGCAACAACAAGATCGAAGCTGAAAATGCACTAGTCGCGAATCAGAGGGGCCGTTAAGTTACTGTTACCAGCAAAAGGCAATTCCTGGTTTCCTTATTGACGTCGACGACGACTGCCACGAGTATATATAGAAATCGTGGTGGTAAAGATTTGCCGGCCCATGGGAGTTAGGAGGAAGGGTAGAGTATATGGTGGGAGAAAGTGCAGGGCAACATAGTTAGTCTCCGGGCCAAGCAGATCGTGCAGTGTCGGAGTATATTCGAGCTGTATGAACCGGGGGGATCGGCAGCGGTGTACTGGGGATGGGACTGAACACGCATATATAGGTGGTCTCGTACGGCTTCTAGAACGAACCAACGGATGCATCAACTATAAGCCGCGAAGGAGGGAGGGGGAGGTGAGGGGTGGAGGACAGGACATAAAACCAGACTAGGGACCTCGCCTGGCTGGACAGGCCTATAAGGATCCTTAACTACATATAGATCTCTAGTTAGCTGGCCATGGACACACCGCGCAAAAAAGCAAAATATATTATCTCAACCGTCAGCTATGAGGCAGACTGATATGATTCGGTCCACATATGCTCCACGCCCCCCAGACGCTATGCCGTATACATTCCTCGTCGCCCAACGGCAGGGTCAGGCTCTCAGATCAGCCCTGGGGAATGTAGTGGTGGTTAATTACCGTAGCTATGACCGGTACGTGGGGGCCAGTGACACAAGATGGGGGGATGGATGGATGGATGGACCCTGCGCTGAGCTGCAGGCTAGGTAGTTGTGGCGTTAAGGTTATTTGACCCCTAGCCCTGCAATGAGCAACGGGTTTCGGTACATGTAGGGATGTACCTGCTCGAAAGCAGTGGTAAGGATGCATGCCTGGGGGGCGCGGCATCTAATCTGCGCTGCTTAGGACAGAATAAAGGAGAGAAGAGTAGAGTACATGTATGTATGTAGACGCAAGAGCGGAACGGGATACATGCGAGCATCTGCCAGAGCGGGCGCGGTCAGGTAGAGAAGGCAGACAGACGGATTGACAAGCCCACTGCCTAGAGGCTAGAGGTGTTTGTATGTTTGTCCATTTGCTTCGCCCATCGATCGACCCAAAGGGGTGGAATGCGCGACACATGCAGGAACCGCCAGATTCAGATGTTTTGGTACAGATTTAAGATCGGACGCAAGGGGGGGGAAGTGTTTGTGTGGCTGCATTAATTCGCTGGAAGGAGAGGGAGGGACTGAGTGCTGACCGTATACCCTTTGACTCTCTTCTCTCTCCCTTTGTCCCTTCATAACATGACCTTCATATCACATCACATACGCTCAGCCTCCCGATCTCTCTCTTACACAAGACTCTGACTCCTCAATCGTTCTCTGACTACTTGCACCAGATCTAATTAATTGTATCAACGACCGACCTAAGCTAAGCTGATAGCTCCATAGTGCCTGCCTGCCAAGCAAAGGCAAGTACCCACTAGTAACCACAGAGCCCAACGTCATTCTTGGTTCACTCACCTCAACGCCCTGCTGCACCACGGCCGGTTTGGGCACAAATCATATCATACAACTCAGGACCCCCCCCCCCAATCCGGATTCTGTACCACTATCAGCATTGCCACTATCGACCTCAGTTGCCTAGGATTCTTAAACCACCGATTCCTCGCGGTATACACTGAGTGCTCTCTCTGTTAATACAAGCACTGCAGAACAAACATCCGATCTACATACCTAATCCACGATGCGCTCTCCAATAATATCACTCCTACTCCTACTCCTGCTTGCAGTTGCAAATGCAATCCCAGCTGTAGATATCACCCAGGACGAGACTGACTCCGTCTCCACAACACCACTGCTTAACAGCACCCCCGCCACTGAAGACACCATCCCCCACTACCTCATCAAGCGCAAAGGCGGCGGAGGAGGTGGTGGTGGAGGTGGAGGCGGAGGCGGTGGAGGTGGTGGTGGCGGTGGAGGAAGCGGCGGCCGAGGCGGCGGTAGTAGTAGTGGTGGTAGTAGTCGCAGCGGCGGCAGCAGTGGCGGCACTGGCGCCGGCGGGTAATCCCCCCCCCATCCCCCCACCCTCTACACTACTAACCCCCAACAGATCGCGCAGCACCTCCGGCGGCCGCACAACCACCGGCTCCGGCACCCCCCGCGCCGTCGGCGCCTTCTACGGCGGCGGTACCGTCGTCCCCTACACCAGTGGGCACGCCTCCCCCAGTGGCCTGCTCCCCACCTTCCTCACGCTGTCTGCCATCTCGCTGCTCTTCAGTGGCGCCTGGCTGCACAGCGGCGGGTACGACTACCGCTACAATAACCCCGTGCAGTACGAGAACACCACGAGCGGCGGCGCTAATGTGACGCTGCCCGTGGTGTGCCTGTGCCAGGAGTACGCGGTGTGCGGGTGCGACGAGAACCATGAGAGGGCGTATGTGCAGGCGATGGTGGGGAATGCGTCGGATGGGAGTGCGGTGAGTCGCGTGGTGGTGGTGAATGGTACGAGGACGTTGGTGCTGAATGGGACGTTGGAGAATGGGACGACGGCGGATGGGGGGACGGAGATGGTGTCTGGGGGGGTGGCGGCGAGGAGGGTGGGGGTGGTGATGTTGGTGATGGTGGTGGGGTTGGGGGTTGTGGTGTTGTAGGTTGATGAGTGTGCATGGGGGCATATGACCTTATGCTGTTTATGCTGCTTGTAATGTTTCTTTTGTAGTCATTCTAGATTTCTTTCTTCTTCTTTCTTCTTTCTTCTTTCTTCTTCCTTCTTTGCCCCAATTTTCTTTTGTCTGCATCAGCATCTGCATCAGGTGGCGGACTAACTTCATCATTCCTCCGTATGATGAGTCTTTTTCCCTTCCATTCTTTCCTTTGTTGCTTCTTTTCCTTTCCGGCCCCCAATTATTTAGATCACCCAATCCATAAGACAGATATATGTACATGAGCACATTATGGCGCGCGCAGTGTATTGTAGTGTAGTGTATTGTAGTGTAGTGTAGTGTAGTGTAGTGTATAGTGCAGTGTTATATCAGCCACAATAAAAGCGTCATGACCACAACCGCAATTGACGCTGATGATGTTGATGTTGATGTTGCATGTTGGCCGAGTGATCATATAACATAAACCCATCCCATCCCGTGATTGGGTCTGTGTGACATTGGTTAGTAGCAGCTGGTGGGCATGGGTTAGGGTTTGAGCAGCTGGAGTTGGAAGTGAGGTTGGAAGTAAGGTGAGCTTAAGAAGCTTCGAGGTTTAAGGTCGACTGCGCAGGTTTCAAAACGCACCGGTGACGGTTCCAATCATGCGGTTGCGGCTGCACTGCGCATGCGCCCGCAACTGCATGCGTCGCTCGCAGGTGAGACATACATACATAGAGTACAGTTATGCGCAGATGTGGTCACTTGTACTAAGGAGGATTACGTAATTTTGACTGGCTGTTTACTTAGTGGTTTTGGGATGAGTGTCTAAGCTTTTTTTCTTCTTTCTTTTTCTTTTTTTGTTTGCTGATATGATGGGAGGTGGTGGTTTATCGGGTTGGTTTCTCGGTGATGCGTGACGAGAGAGAGAATTGGCTTCGCTTACGATCATGAGGCTGAATACATGTACTCTTCTACGCGTGTGTTGGGTGAGAGTTGTTTTGGTTTGCAAAAGTGTAGTTTTGCGGTTTTGCGGTTTTGCGGATCGATCTAGATTCCCATCGGTTCCAAGAAAAAAAAAGCGCGAAACTATCCGCCTATCAGTAGTAGCAGCAGCAGTTGATAGTTAGCCAATACCAGCTAGTTACCTACCAACCCCAGCCTTCAAACAAAAGTCTCCCCTAGTCGAACCAGACCTAGAAAAACCCCCAATTAACCAACCTCCTGCCAAACGATCATTACCCCCGGTAACAATCTTATCTGATAATCAGTAGACCTCGGTCGAACGTGACGGTAACAAAATGTTGTATGCACGCCCAGAATAGATCATGCATGGGTCTAACCGAGGCTGTCGTTTAGCTTAACTTCCCCGGATTGTTGAGCTGACCTTCTTCTTGTTGTATCTATCTGTTCTACTATCGCCCGCCGTCAGTTGAGAGATTCTGAGAGTGAGCTTGCAATTGAAGAGAGAAGATCTAGAAGGAATTGAAGAGCCCGAAGAGATACTCACCTATACACACCTATAACTACCTATACCTACCTACCTACCGACAATACAAGATGAAGGGAATCCAGCTAAGCTCCTACGTCAAGGTAAGCTCTCACCCCCCAACCCCCTCCAAGAGCACGTACAGCTAACCCCCTCTCCAAGGGCCCCTCCGACCTCACCGTCACAACCCTCCCCGACCCCGTCCCCGCGGCAGACGAATACCTCATCTCCATCCGCGCCGCCGCCACAAACTTCTTCGACCTCCTCCAAATCCAGGGCAAATACCAGCACGTCCGTCACCCCTCTCCTCCCCCTCTTAGCATCCCTTCTAACACCGATCGAGTAGCAACCCCCCTTCCCCTGGATCTCGGGCATGGAATTCGCCGGCGTGGTCCTCCACGCACCCCCCACCGCCAAATACCCCATCGGCACGCGCGTCTTCGGCGCAAAACAAGGCGCCTACTCCACCCTCATCACCGTGAAGGAAGACGTTCTCCACGCCGTCCCCGCCGGCTGGAGCTTCGCCGACGCCGCAGGCCTGTACGTTACCGCGCCCACCTCCTACGCCGCGCTGCACCTGCGCGCGCGGCTGGCGCCCGGCGAGACCGTGCTCGTGCACGCGGGGGCGGGGGGCGTCGGGCTTGCGGCCATCCAGATTGCGAAGGCGGCTGGCGCGACGGTGATTGCCACTGCGGGGACGGGCGAGAAGCTGGCCGTGTGTCGGCGCTTTGGGGCGGACCATGGCGTGGACTACCGGGGCAAGGGGTGGAGCGCGGAGGTGCTGGCGCTGACGGGGGGCAGGGGAGTGGATGTGGTGTTTGATCCCGTGGGGATGGTGGAGGCGTCGTTGAAGTGTGTTGCGTGGAATGCGCGGGTGCTTGTGGTGGGGTTTGCGGGGGGTGTGATTGAGAAGGTGGCGATGAATAGGGTGTTGTTGAAGAATGTGAGTGTTGTGGGGATACATTGGGGGATGTATGCGGAGAAGGAGAGGGAGGAGAGGACGGTGGAGAAGGTGTGGGATGGGTTGTTGGGGTTGGTGGGGGAGGGGAGGTTTAAGCCGACGGTGTATGATAAGGAGTTTGTGGGGTTGGAGAGTGTAGGGGCGGCGTTGCAGGCGCTGGGCGGGAGGGAGACGTGGGGAAAGGTTGTGGTGACTGTGCCGGAGGAGAAGGGGAGTCGCTTGTAGGATATCACGTTCCGTTGTAGCACTGTCAATGTAGAATAAAACCCCCCAAAAAAAGATTTGGCTTGCTCTCTCTGATTCACTCTCTAATTCGACTCTTCGGAGGCGCTAGGCTGGGTGTTACAAAAGGTGGGCTTTTAGCCGCACTGAGTCGGCGGCCTCAAGGCGGCATTTTTCTTTCCATTTTCTAACCCGTAGAGAAAAAGTCTAAACCCAATGGCCGGCATCACAGCTCACCTACAGTAATACTGTAGGAATAGTATTAGTTACCCGCAATCAGCCATTGCGTTCAAATACCATTTCCCGCCCACAACACACATGGGCGAGTGGCCAACCGGTTAACACTCGCCCCCCTGGATACACCGAGTGGTTGTGCCAAGTTGTACCTGTCGAAGGTCGGGGTTGTAGTCATGGCGGCTGCCATCAATGCAACCTTTTGTTTTAAATACCTACTACTATTTATTAGTGGCTGGTTTAAGATTTCTCATCATAGAAATTTTTACATAGAAGGCTACGTAGCTGGGGGGCGTGTAAGGTTTGACGTCTATCACTAGAAACACTTTCTCCCTAATGCCGGCGTGCCAAGATACCTCAGACAGGACAGCCAGCCAGTCCACCCCACCCGCAGCCAAACTACAACGCTCTTGGCAAGCTCTCTATCCCTCCCTTTCTTCTGGTCCCCTCCTCCCTCCATCGGAGTCCATCCCTCTCCTTCCCACCCCTCACGCATCCAGTCGCTCTCTCAATGTTTACGCCGAGATCGCCCAATGCCTGCAAAACGCAGAGAGATGATGAGCAGCCCTCTCCATCTCTGGGTGATACACTAGAGGGGGCCTTCCACTCTTTTTCATCCCCGCTTTGTCTTATAGGCCCAGCCTGTCTGCGGTGTTTATCCATCTCACGTTTAGGATCCTTCTGTTTTTGGGTTCTCGCCAACTGTCTCATTCTCTGCTTTCTTTCCCCTGGCTAGTATTACTAGTCTTGATGTCTATCATCGGCCTGGCGGGCATCTTGTCTAGGCAGTTAACATTCAAGCTAACCACTAAAGCCGCTTGCACCTGAGCCGTGGAGAGAGAAAAGAAAGGTTCACCGACTATTATAACCTCACAGATAACCGCAACTACCATTGAAAGGTCCGGGTCGAATTACCAGCGACAACGCAAGTCACTAAAGCCAGTATCTACGGTCCTGAATCCGTCACAGCCAAAAAAGTGTCGTTACAGGCGGAAATTTCTAGGACTTATTTCTGAATTAAGACCACAGACGGAGATGTACGAAATAGGAGGCATATGTTACTCAACAGCGGAGATGCGATGTAGTCGAGTGATGGTCCATGAAGACGTACAGTCCTGTACTGTCTGGCTATAGGGAATTAGTGGTTCTAGCCATACGGCGGAGTCTCATCGCAGTTATGAAGGGAAAGATATGGGGAAAACAGAGGGATTATTATTCGCTCTTGACTTGTGGAGTACATGCAGCGGCATGCAAGTCTGAATGGCTAATCATAGAATATCACTCGGGATATGTGTATTTATAACACGATGGACCTAGCCGAGAACCGTTGCAGGTGACCTCGCGTTGCCAGGAGATATTAGCCCTAGCTAGTCTAACAGCGCACGGAATCTATTCAATTCCCCTTCACTCCTTTGGACGTTGAGGCTCAAGTCTCCGTATGGCAATTGTATATCACACGCTTAGGCGAAAACAAACGGTCCAGTTGACACGACTGTTTATCAGGCGCGCCCTTGGATAAGTTTACGAGATTCTCAAATGATCGACTGCGTTGGGCTTTTTTGTCGGGTGTCCAAAAACGACTTAAGTTTTCGACCCCTTTTCGGGGCTCTTAGGCAATGTTGAAACCCACCGGCACCTATGCTAGCAAAATCAGAGATTCGGTGTTCCCTCCATTGACAGGAGATACAGCGGATGAACTGGAGCAACTGCTGTTTGGAAACGGGGCAATCCCGTGTCTGTCCGGAGTTCTGTGCTCACCCCTATCCCGTGTAGACAGCTTGCCTCAAGTCATCGGTAGGGGGTAGGGCCGAATAAGCTTGTGTCAAGCCAAAGTCTTAGCATCAAACGTTGCCAAGCGCGTTTCGAAACCCAGTGTTTGGTGGCTGACACATAACGGAGTCGGCCTTGGCAGAGGTCCGAGGCTTAATACAACGACCACTTTGGCAGGCGAACGGGTGTTTTATGGTGATCCGTTTGGCGATCTGTATTCAGTTGTTATGGGTATGATACATGTACCTGTGCTGAACATCTTATCTAACCAATTGATCGGAGCTGCAGTTTGGCCGTCGGCCAATCAGTATGCACAGGTAGTGACCAGATAAGGTGTTCGGCACAGGGACCGTCTAGTTCTTTCGTGCCAGATTTTCTTAGAGGAAACATTTACGTATACCGTTGCTTCTTCGCTGCTAGAGCCAGTGTAGTCTACCTAGCTCTGACATAACACCTATGTTTATGTCTCCAACGTCGCCTGTCAGTTCCTGCTGGGACAGGGTTTCCGACGGATAATATTAGTCTATTTTCCCGTTATTTCATTATCATTTCATTTTCATTTTCTCTCTGTCCCATCTGGAAAATACGTTTTTCCCTCCTGAAAATTCTTTTCCTTTATTCTTTATTTCTTCTAGTTATATTATGCAGTGTAAAATTTCTTTGTATTTCCACAAAAAATTAATAATTCCACAGCTATTGAAAGAGATTAGCAAAGGAAGAAAGTAATAAAATATCCACCATAATAATAAAAAGTCGTCTTGGCACGTCCCTTACACGCACACTCAAAACCACCACGGTGGGTTTCGTTATCTCAGCTGTTCGTTTACGCAGATTCTAGAACTTCCTACCTCAGTAGTCCCTTCCAGCGGTGATAAAGTTAATCACCCTGACGCCCAATCAATAAGTCACGCTCTGTTATTCGATGAAAGGTTACCTGAGTTTACTTGAACAGGAGCCCTAAAATATGCAGGTCTCACCAACCCAAGGGTTAAAATTCTCGCTTCCCTCGGAGCAAGGGCTGTTTGGCTCCCACAGTGCACTGACTTCCTCCCGTAACGTTAACGACAGTCCCCAAAACAGATTCAAGACACCATCACCAACGCGAGCCGTCAATCGCAAAACCAAAATAGAAGCGCCTTATGCGCATCGCTAGGCGCGCACATGAGACATCTCCCGAAGTCGCGTTGTCCAGTTACTCAATACCCATGTTCTTGGCTAAAACGCTTGATTGGCCAGCAGTGAACGTCGCGAACGCAGGGGATAATATCAAGGCACTAACCGCCAAAAAAAGTAGTTGGATCGATCTACATAACTTAAAACCTTGGTATTTGTCAATGATCCGCAGAAGGGCTTCTAATCCAGGGATCCGGGTTTTTGGGGGTATCGAAAAGCTTGGTATTTGGCGGGAGCTGGGGGGTCTTTATAAACCTTTGGCATCCCGCCGGTCTCGATTTTTTCTTCCCTCTCACCAGCTCATCAGTTCATACTCGGTTCACATTCGCTATTGTTGATCAATACTTTCCTTATCTCCTTCTTTTTTCTCCCTTTCTACTAGAATCTCCAGAGCAGTGCTCTTCACTCCTTTCTTTAAAAACACACTTACTTGCAATCAAGCAAAATGCAATACGCTCTTATACTCTCCCTCCTCCTCCCCTTCACTACCGCCTCCCCGGTGCCCCAAAACGGCGGTAAAAACGCTGAATCTATCCCCCTCGCTATCGCAGAAAACCGGCTCTTCAAGACCTTCGCTGCCTCCTCGCATTGCGATGCTGCCACCCAGCCCGCCGCCTGCATCGACGACAAATTCACCCAATGCGTCAATGGCGCCTTCTCGGCCGGCACTGAATGTGCCGGCGGGCTCAAGTGCTTCTCGCTCCCGCTCGTCAATAAGGTCGGGACCAGCGTGAGCTGCACTTCAGACGCGGATGCGGCCGCGAGAATGGGCTTTAGCAGTGTTGCGGAGCTGAACCAGGCGTTTGGGAATGCGGTGACGGTGTCGTTGGCGGCGCTGCGGACCGGGGAGCGCGGTACCAAAGTGAGAGTTAATAGCCATGGTGGCTTCCACGTTAGTGACCATGACGAGCTCGAGGTGGACGAGAGTGGGGCGGACGATTCTACGCATGTTGAGCATGCGGGATATGATAATGCTGCTGCTGCTGCTGGTAAAGGATATGCCGACGACGATGCTGCCGGTAATGAGTCTGCGGACGACGCTGCTGATGATGCGTCTGCAGATGGTGGTGCTGGTGCAGGACACGAAGGTGCCGCTGACGGCGATGCTGCTGGCGATGCTGCTGGTAATGCCACCGGTGGTGCATACGCAGATGCTCCGGCTAAAGAGACAACACCACCCGCAGGAGTATTCCCACCTTCCGCAAATTTACCTTCTCCCACCGGGACTCCTTCCCGCAACGGCACTGCAGGAAACGACACTGCTCTCCCGGAACCCGTCCAGACCAATGCGCCCAACGGTACTGCAGCTCCAGCAGAGACTGCCCTCCCAGCGGAGACTGCCCTCCCAGCCGAGACTGCCCTTCCTGTAGAGGGTGAACAGCCAGTAGAGACAGGAGCCCCAGGGGCTGAAGCTCCGTGCACAGATGCCCCGCCTGCTGCAACTGGAGCACTTGGAGAGGCTGCTCCTCCCACTGGTACTGCTATGCCCATGCCCGAGGAGACTGCGGCGCCAGCGGAGACTGAGCTCCCGATGCCGGAAGAGGGTGCGCCTGCAGCCACAGAGACTGCTCCTCCAGCTCATGAGACTGCACCTGCGGCCACTGAGACTGCGCCCCCCGCGAAAGAGACCGCTCCTGCAGCTACAGAGGCCGCTCCTCCGGCTCACGAGACTGCTCCTCCGGCCGGCGAGACGGCTCCTGCGGCCGGTGAGACTGCTCCCCCCGCAAACGAGACTGCTCCTCCAGCTCATGAGACCGCCCCTGCGGCCGGTGAGACTGCTCCTCCCGCAAAGGAGACCGCCCCTGCGGCTACCGAAACTGCACCACCTGCAAAAGAGACTACACCTACAGTCACAGAGACTGCTCCTCCAGCTCATGAGACCGTCCCTGCGGCCGGTGAGTCTACTCCCCCCGCGAAGGAGACCGCTCCTGCGGCCACCGAGATTGCCCCTCCTGCCGCAGGGACCTATCCTGCTGGATACGGCGCTGGAGCTTATTAGGATTAATATTTATGAACGATATTCTGGTTATACTTAGTTAGTAGGCGTTGGTAGCGATATGAGTGGGGGTTGGGGCGGTTAATTTGAAGCGGGTATTCGGTTCTATTATGTAGTCAGATTATACGAATTCAATAGTGTCTATGAAAGTATTTATGAATTATTTGGAAGAATCGCGTGCTAAGTTAGTGAGAATATATAATAGATTAAAGATACATATAGTGAATTACCTTGAGATGGGCCGGCTGAGTGATATTTTATGATTACGTAGGATTCACAGGAGTATTAGTTCTCATCTCACCAATGGAGATCCCATACGGAAGCGGTGTAAGGAGTCCCCCTCCCAGCTACCATGGCTGAGACAGGCCTCCTATACGAACATTATCCGCTTGGGCGGGAACCTTTGGCAGTAGTGCAAGCGGGGATCATGGTATATCACTCGTGCGCCAAGTCACTAACTGTAGTTAGCTCACCAACCCAACGAACCCTGGTCTGAGGCCTCCAAGTTAAATCATGGAATATCACTCGATAAACTCTTGCTTTCACGCCATGGTTCCGGTCATGGTAGACCAACTCTTTTCCCTCAAAAGAGGGGAACCACACGCCCTGAATACATCCTTTAAAAAGAAGAACTCAAGGCATGGGGTTGACGAAGCGAGCATACTCGAGGCAAACCCTCTCTTTGTACGAGCATGTAAACGTATGGACCACACGAAGCAGAGGCACTTTGATGAATTTGCGTCTACTCACCTTGAGTGACCTAGTGGACCACACTATTAGTAATGGTCGTCATTAAAAAAAAACACCCAAATAACCTAACTTTACGTCCCCCAAATCAGCTAATTGCCTGATTAAACCATTTATTGAGACTCAAAACCACAGTATGTGTGCTAGTAAACCGTTTTTCCATCCCGGCCAGTAGGCGGCCGGAATGTTGATTTATCGTGACCGGAATCATAGTCCATCGCCGCCTCCGTCTGGTCTCTTCTAACCATCCGGAATCAAGTACAACACCCTTCAGACTTGATTCCAGCAAAAGAAGGTTGCGCGCTTGTGTGAGAGTATGCAGGAAACCTCCTCTTTCAGTCCTGACACGGACGAGAAAGCGCTTTGAATGTTTTGACTCCTCCTTCAGTGTGTCGAAAGTGCATAAGCCATGGAGCCTCTTTGGTGAGTTTGTGCTGGAGCCTGCTTTATTTCTTGTCGGAAAATTAATTTGGAGCTGAGTGGGCGGATGGAGGATGATCTTGGAGATAGGCTTGCACGATCACGAGGTAGGCCGCGCTGCTCGTGATGTAGATCTTGGAGCAACTCGGATTTGGGCACGAACCACCCCGCGGTATAGGGACAGCATCTGCTTTTGACCAGTGTGGTCGGTTCATGGGGATGTTTGAGAAGTGTCCTCGCGATACTCGTCCTCGTTTCCATCTCTCCTCGGTCGGCTTCCGCTCCTGTTGACTTCGATGGCGATGAAAAAGCGAGCCCAGGAGAGAACGCAGGTCGGGGGTCTTATGGGTAACTAGCTGCTGCGTGGGTCAGGGCGTCATGTCCGGAACTCTGGTCTCGTGTTCAGCCTGTGGTGTGTGTGGTCTGCACAGCGGGGAGTTGACAAAAGTCGGGCACGAGACCAAAAAAACACCTAACCCTACACTATCCCTAAGGATTAGATTAGATTGATCAAGTCGAGCCCCCTTCTGTGGGATGGGGTTATAACAGAAATCCGGACAGTACTGGCATGCGTTATTCGGATTAGTCTAAGGGATAAAACATCACTCCATCCTCCATTAGCTTCCGTCGCAGAAGACGGCATGGGTTCGAATCCCATGTCGGGCACGAGGGGAGGGAACACTTTACTATCGCTCCCCAAATTGCTGCAGTTTTTGCTGCCGGATTTTGTCTTTTTGAAATGACGCCTTTTTCCTTGGTCGTGTTTGCATTATTAATGGGCTCGTACATGATACAGTGGATTTTAGTGTAGGACACGTCGCGATCACGGAATGTTCTGACTCCGGGTGGTCATTCGAGTTTTATCAAAGCCAACGTGCTAGACAAACTCATCAACAGGGTTAGGGTCTTCAACTTTTTGATTGTCTACCACGAAAGAAAAAAAAGAATCCAAAACAGAAGAGGGGGAGAAACATCTCAAAAAAAAAAAAGAAAAAAACATTCAAAATAACTGAGACCCTATATGTATGTTAGTCTCATCTCCAGATCGTGGTGGCGCCGCTTTTCTCTTTACATGTGCCATCGGCCAGAGAAGGGAGAAGGGAGGGCTGACTGGTTCATGGATAATCACTCGGTTTCCACCTCCTCTCGGGCTTAGCGGGGAAAGGCCACCCACCACTACATGCATCTACATGTAGCCACCACATAGCACGACCATTCCCTGGGGTGTTTATAGACTCATATACTTCCAACCACTCTGTGCGGTGTCTTCTGATCGTAGAATAAGAAGAGAGGACCAACACCAACGGCCGGGGGCAGAGAGTCTTGGTATGAGAGTTGTATCATATATTCTCACTCGGGCGCCAAGTAAAAACCCACCCAGCGCCCGCGATCCCAGACACAAGTACTTGTTTACCACGAAAAGAACCAGAAAATGCAAGTGACGGAAACAGGGATAGTTTGTATGAGAGATCACCGCCACTCCATACAAATAATCCTTGCCCTGAGCAACTGCATTTTCTGGTTCTTTTCGTGGTAAACGAGTACATGTATGAAGCGCCGGCTAAAACTCCCCCGAAGTCTTCTCCGACACATCTCAGGCATAGCCATCGGTCGTCCCAGGACGCCCGCGTGTCAATGGTCAAAGCGCATGTAAAGCTTCATACTCTAACTTTCACTCCGACTTAGAGATGATATCAAGTCACTGCGCACAAAACTTCATATTCCTAACAGATGAAGAAAAAAGTAAGAATAGGAAAAAGACACAAACACCCAAAGAATGAGAAGAGGCCAAAAACCAAACAGAACCCAAACTAAACCGGACCAAAAAAAAAAGAACATAAAAGAGACATCACCCTCCCCTCCGGTAAATGAGATCATCTCAAATGACCCCCAACTCTCCACTGTGCACTCTCCCCCTCATGCACCCCTCCCCCCCACCGCAAGACAAGATAAGAATGGTCAAAACAAAAGAAAAAAGGAGGCTAAGCTAAGCCCAACACGAAATCGACTCATAACTACAGTAGTATGCTATGGTCCGTGCTATCCAGACCGTTCTAACCTACACACAAAAAAAACTAAACACTTTTTTTCTGCTTCAATTATTTTCCGCCCTATACTCATTGCATGCATGCGCCCCACCCACCCCGCCCCACCCCGCCCCACCAACCCCCAACCTCGCTGCTAAATGGCAGTTATACTTCTACACGACAGTATAATACAGCCCCCTCATAGCCCCTCAGGTCAGTCAGTCGGTAGGCAGAGATAAGTTCATGAGCGCGCGCGCGCGCAAGCAAACACACATGCAACGCACCACCCCCCATCACTCCCACTCCAACGAGTCCCCGCCCGCCACGTTCCCATTCAAGCTCTCATAATTCTGCTGTGGCGGCGGCGGCGCCTGGGCGGCTCTCCCCCTCCCAGCGCCCCTGTCACCACCCCTCTGCGCCGGCCTCTGCGGCAGCGGGTGTCTCTGCTGCTGCTGCTGCTGCTGTCCCCGCGACGACGGATGCGGCTCCACCTGAACGCCTTCATATGCGTCCCAGCCGCTGCCTGACTCCTCTGCCTGCGGCGTCCCCCACTGGTCGTACACCGGCACACCGCCACCGCCATTACCATTACCATTGCTGTTCCCGTTTGAGCGCTGCGGCGGCGGCGCGGCTCGTGGAGGGTTTGGGCGCTGCGGTGGTGGCGCTTGTTGTTGTTGTTGTTGCTGCTGGGGAGGCGGCGCGGGCGCTCGCCCGTTGAGTCTGCCGTACGAGTCTTCACCGCCGCCGCCGCCGCCGCCTCTTCCGCCACCGCGACCGCCGCGACCACCTCGGCCACCTCGGCCGCCACGACTACTGACTTTGCTGGCGAGCATGGCGTCGATGACGTCTTGCGGGATTGTGCCTGCCACTGGGGCGGGCCCTGTGACGGGGGCTGAGTTTGCGAGGATACTCTTTCCACCGTCCTCCGTGAGACGCTTCCGTACTTTGATCTTGAGGTATCCCATCCCGAGCTTTCTCACGTCCTCAGTGTCTTCGTCTTCGTCGTCTTCGTCTTCAGGCTGGTCCTCGTAGTAGCTGTCCTGCTCAAAGTCGTTTGTGGAGACGATGCCGGCAGGGGCAAAGACGTATGCTTCGCCCTCGTTAAGGGCCACAATGCGGGCGAGGAGGGAGAGCGCGTTGGTGTCGGACTCCACGGCGACGGCCGCGAGATGGCGCTTCATGAAGGCGAGCCATTCGGGGGAGGTGAAGCGGTGGGCGATGATGATGTTGCAAAGGTCGAGGAGCTTGGGGGAGATAGTGGGCTCTTGGGTGGAAATGAGGACGCGGGTGGCGAGATGGCGTTGTTGACGGATGACGGAGAGGAGGTTGTCTGTCAGCTTTTGGGCGGGGGAGGTAGAGGTCATGTACTGGTTTTTATGTGTTAGTTATTGTAGATTGTGGGATAGAGGAAAGGGGAGAGAAGTTACCTTGTGAGCTTCATCAAGAGCAATTACTCGTCCATACTTTACATCCTTCTCCAGAAATAGCCCCACACAGATATCAAATAACGCACACGCACTCGCCTCATCCACAAACGGATCACTCAAATCCACAATCGTAATTACTCCCGGCGTAAAATCCCACACCTCGTCCGCGCCCTCCCGCATCTCCAAAAAGCTCTCCAAGATCTCCAACCGCAGCGTCAGCGGGCCCCTCTGCATAGGCGTCAGATCCGCCTGCAGGATCATATCTCGAAACAGCCTATAGTCGAACCCCGAGCCGTAGATGCTACTCGCCGTCGCCAGCTCGCGCAGGATCTTGCGCACGTACTCCATGTACAGTGGCGGATGGTCCGAGTTCTTGTCGACAGACATGAGAGAGAGCATGCGCTCGATGTTGAGGTCGGACTGCTTCAGCTTGAGCGGCTTGACGATGAGGTTTTGTGAGGCGATGCCGGAGTAGAGGCGCGACATCTGGGGGTAGTTCGATGAGGAAACTAAGATGCGCACGGGCATGTGCGTGGCCAGATATGCAGCTTCACAGGGGCGGAGGGCATTGGCGCTGTTATTGATGTCGAAATGAAAGACCATTGCCGTGAGGGGATTGGGGAGAGCCCCGAGTATGGGTGACTTTACAAGCATATTTTCTACAATATCTCACATTAGCACACATTCTCTCCATGAAGCAATTATATAGAAAATGCCGTAAAAAGAAGAAAGAAAGAAAAAAAAACTCACCAAGCATACAGGCCAACGTATGACTCTTCCCCGACCCCTGCAGCCCACAAATAAACGCAGACCACGGCGCATTCCCGTTCAAAAACACCCTGGGATCCCCCTTCTTCTCGGGCTTCCTCGCGCCGTCATAGTAGCCGCTGTCGTCGCTGCTGCTGTCGCCCGACCGCTTCCGCACATCCCCGGGGTCAACGAGCTCCAATGCGCGCCCGAGCAGCCCGTATTGGTTTAGTGCGGCAGGACAGTGCTTATCGACGAAAAGGCCTGCGGCCGCAGTGAACACGGGGGTGGTGATGAGGGAGTGTCGTTGGGATGCAAGGGAGACGTCGTGGTGCGAGCCGGCGCCGTTGGGGCCGGAGGGGGCCTCGCCGAGCAGACTGAGCTGCTGGTAGAGGTTCGCAGCGAGGTTTTGGGAGAAGCTGCGTGCCATTGCTGTGTGTGCGATGGTGTGGTGGTGATGGTGGGGGGGAGGGGGGAATAGGATGGATTTGGTTGTGGAAAGAGAGCGAGGTTAGGTGGAGAAGATGACACAGCACTACTGCTGGAGGAGAAGGAAGAAGAGATGGCTAAGAGCACGAAAAGGCCAGAATCGGTGATATGTCAGCTTAGCGGGGAAGAAGACGGCGAAGGAAAGACCAGTGCAGTGTTTGGCGGCCTTCTTTATATACATCAAGTACAGACTCAAAGAGATACATCTAATCTCAGCTTTTCTGTGCACTGAGGGGTTAAACCCAACACGCACGCAGCTACCCGCGTGAATGCAGGCAGCCAGGCAGGCAGCAGTACTGTAACCTCCTCTTATTTCTTCCTCTTCTACACATTAAACCATACCCAATATGATATTCTCAACAATGCCCCTCCTCTATCCCCTCATGATTGGGTATAAATGCGATTAATTCAGGCAATCACCCAGTTTCACCCACCTCCCTCCCTCCCCCCGCAATCTCAGGCGTCCCACTATCTCTCCTCCGGGGGGCTCAAGAGGTGGGGAGAGGGGTTTAAACCCGAATGCGAAAGAAAGCGCGGGAGCAAAAGGCAGAAGGGACGCCTTGACAGAAAACTATGAATCGAGCTGCGATATGAGGTCAAGGTTACAACGATGCTTGCTTGTTTGGGGCTGCAGGTCAGATTCAGGCACCCAACCTAGGATTCTTGATGACTAAGCAACAAAGACAGACAGACAGGCGGAACCCCAACACCCACAACTCCGGAGGTTTTGGGTGACCTACATACATCAGCGATGGATGCGGGCGTCTTCCGAGACATTTCTCGGGTCTACTCTGGGTCAAAAACAATGCGGTGTGACGCCATGGTGCATGCTGAGATGTGGGTCATAGACGATCACTCGTTAGTCTTGGATCATAAGCCATCACTCGGTCGATAGGTCGGGGGTGAAAAACTACATGTACCCCAACCGAAGTCGCCTCACTTTATCAGCAGAACAATCCAAATTTTAAACAACAAAACGGTCGTACCATAGCCACAATTTAATTCTTTCATCTCGCACTTAACGAAAACTGAGGCTAGTCATACCAGTTCGTGGATAATGTCTTTTTTTCACTTCACACACCATTACATGTATATAGAGTATCCCTTAAGCTCTCGATGCTGACCCCCTATAAGAGAGGAATTAAATTGCTATGAGAGATCTATTAGTAAAGCCACACAATAATTTGTTTTAGGGGGGGGGGGGGGTGGTCAGCATTTGTTACCAGACGAAGGGATACTTTTCGCTTCCCACAATCCATCAACTAACCGATACCCATCATACATGGACAGGATCAGCAATATGTATATGATCTCCGACCACTCAAATCCTCCCATAGCAATATTCATCATAACCAACTGGCATAGCGGTTTGTTTTCAGGGTTATCGAGCCTAGGGCCCGCCTATATCGATTAAGCTATATACATAGAACACAAGAGAGCTTACGGTTCTATTAATAAATCTTTCGTCATCGTTCTCTAGTGCCAAGAGGGACCCGAGGACACGCTTCAAAACAAAAAAAAAAGATTTCGACAAAACCGTTGCAACGCCTCCCTCTCCTCTTCCGCCCTTCGTGGCCGGCGACCACATCGATATTTCCCTACGTTTCTTAGCGATAATATCAACCATCAAAATGTACTCAATACTCAATCCTTGACCGTTCAAACCTTCCCGTAACACTCATCAAAACCATCGGGCAAAGCGGTTTACTTTGAGAATTATCGAGAATAAAAGAGTTTATTTCTCTATAAATAGACTTGAGGACACGTTTCAACTTTGTTTTCGACAAAACCGTTGCAACGTCTCCCTCTCCTCTTTTACCCTTCGTGGCTGGCGACCACATCGATATCTCCCTACATTTCCTAGCAATATCAAGTCATCCAAATGTACTCGATACTGAATCTCTGCCCGTTCAAATCCTCCCATACCAATCATCGGGTACACCGGTCTACTTCGAGAATTATCGAGAACAAGAAAGTTCATTCCTCAATTAATAGACTTAAGGACACGTTTCAAAACCTTTTTTAATTTTTTTAATTTTTTTTAATTTTTTTATTTCTTTCTACAACGTCTCCCCTTCCAACCTTTGTGGGCGCCAACCACATCGGTATCCCCCCGAAAATACAATGCGGGGATCCGGCCCTCTACTATTCCAAACTCCTCCCTCCTATACTATGTCTCTACAAATCATCCTCTAAGACCTTCCCTCTTCCAGACTTTGTGGTTGCCGTCACAAAGCGAGGAAAAGACGATGGAGGTGAAAGGGGAGGGCATATACTCTTCAATACTTTGTGTTCACAGCCACAAAGTGAGGAAGAGATAAAGACAAGTGAGGAGAGAAAAGAAAAATAGGAAGAGGCATCCAAGCTTACCATTATTTTGCTACAACCCAATGAACCTCCGTTAAGATGATCCCCTAATAAGTGCATTCATCCTGGATTTTCAACTCTTCCGGGTCGTACAAACGCGGGATATCCCTCGGTATCCCGAAATAATCCACAGTGCTGTACACATACCCATTGTATACTGGTGTTGTCGCCTCCGCCTCCGCCACCCCCTCTCCCTCTTCCTCACTGTGAGCACTATCACTGTCACTGTTGTTGGTCCTCCTCTTCAGAACACTCGGCTTCGGAAAGTCAGTGTTGCTGTTGCTGATTCTGTTCCGTTGCCTGAACAGTGTTTTGAGCTCCTGGCAAACCCAGTTGACTTGAGCGACGTGACGCAGTGTCACGAGCTCGTCAGTGTACGGGTGGGGTTTAAGGAGGTGAGGAAGTGTGATAATGGTGGTGGTGCTGGTAGACATCTTTGGGTCTTTGACTCGTACAGGTTGTGGAGGGATGTTGTTGTTGTGGTTATTCGTGATATTGTGGTTGTTGTGGTTATTCGCGATAATGGATTAAGAATATTGATAATGAATTAAGAATGGAGAGAAGATCGTTTTAAATAGATGTGAGGAGAGAAGACAGCTGTCGTTCAAGGCCCATTGTGAAACACTTGTCACCTTAAATCCGTAGACAGATACATCTGTTTTCTCCTCATAGCTGTTATGTTCCATCATGGTGATGATTTGTCTTTTGACGGTTTCCAGTGAGAATGAAGACACATGTAGGCTGTGATATCTATGTGGCCTCCTCCTGATCTGTGGTTAACTACCTGCTGATGTGGTATTTGAAACGAGACAGAAGGTCTTCGTGGAGCAAGATTTGACAGACCAGGTCCTCATGCTTCACTCAAGATATGGTCTCTCTGTTGAAGCCAACTTACACGCCGTGATTATCTACGCCGGAATGTTAGCAGAGGTAAGATTTCGAGTGACGAGACAGAACAGATAGCAAGCAGAGACGTAGCTGAGTGTCCTTAAGATGGTGATGATGATGGCTTTTATACATCGTGGCGGCCAAGTGTGTATTTGTTGGAGCTCCTCAGCTTGACGCAGCGAGCAGATGAAGACAGAAAATGGTGTTTCGGAGTACTTAGCACACACTAGAGCTTGTTGACACCGTGTTGTGCTAGAAGGTTCTGGGTCCGGGTCTAAGGATGGAAGTATCCGATGTAGTCTCTAGGGGTGCTTACCTCGATGATGAACAGTACTGTAATCCAACGTGTGGTATGTGTATCTTTGAACATTCCCCACTTAAATGCTATACTCCCCAGTCCATACAATGGCTCACCAAACGCCAAGCTAACCTCCAACCAACCCACCCTTGACCACAACCATCTCCCTCCTCCCAAACCACGCCAACCAAAATCTCTAGCAGGCCCTTAACTTCTCCACATTCGTGGTTGAAAAAGATAACCTACTCTCAGCATTTGTATGTGTTACCTCCCACACACACACATCACCCAGCGAGGAGATCTAACAGCAAGGTCCTAATTTGATCTACTTCTGTGGTCAAGAGGGAATAACTTCGTCGCTCGCTACCCCACCCTTGCTGTGTTGTGTGGCGATGGGAGAGAGTGATTTTTGCCCGGCGCGTACTGTACCGTGCTGTGCTGGTCTTTTGTGGCTGGGACGGATGTGCATGGACTTACATGTTTTCCTTTTAGTCCTCGAGGGGTAGATAGAGTGGAGTGGTGGGGATATGACTTCGGGCATTTAGAGAGTTAGGCGGTGATGATCAAAACTTAGAATATAATCTATGGGGGGGTCTCTGACAACTGGAGTCTAGTCCCTACGCTGGGCGTAGTTTTTTCCTAGAAGGTAAGACGACTGGCGCCCCTCCGCTAAACTGGAAGCAGGAAGGAAGGAGCAAGAGAATAGGGGCCAAGTGACCTCAATAGCGGACGACCGTAACTACATGTAGCCCGCACTCACAATGAGAGCGGCGAGAACGGTACTGTATGTACACTGTGCAAGCCCCATGTGTGACCCCATATACATACAAACCCGAGCAAGAAAAAGTGATCAAATCCGGCAGCAAAAACTGCAGCAATTTGGGGAGCGATGGTATAGTGTTCCCTCCCCTCGTGCCCGACATGGGATTCGAACCCATGCCGTCTTCTGCGACGGAAGCTAATGGAGGATGGAGTGATGTTTTATCCCTTAGACTAATCCGAATAACGCATGCCAGTACTGTACGAATTTTTGTTATAACCCCATCCCCCCGAAGGGGGCTCGACTTGATCAATCTAATCTAATCGTTATCTTTACTGAGATAAAGTAGAGATGGTCCCGATAAACCAAGACGTGGGATAAAAGTAGAGGCGCAGACGAAAATATTCTTAGCGTGGGAGTTTCACACCATGGCCAGTAAGACCAAAGACACAAAAACAAGCCGGATTCGCTGTATGTGCTATGACCTGTACAACTACTATATTTTCACCCAGGCGCAACGGACATTTACACCGAAATTTCTTCTCTAGCGTGATCTACTCTAGGGCCGGCTAGGCTGCCAGTGCGTTTTGTTTACGCTCCCATCTCTCTACACCACTTCATCTCCCTTCAGGACCACCCCCACTCCCCCCGTCTACCCTCATCTCCCTTTATGTCCACTCTCATCTTCCACTCTCTCAACCTCTCTCCGACGCACAGATGCCTCAGAACAGCTGACGATGAACCCAGCTCCTACTCTCCCCCGGCCCCGGTTAGAGCCTTCCTAGCTAGACGTCCGGAGGTGGTGCCAGCCGAACAGGAGCGAACTACCCCGTGTCGATGAAGGTCTTTCTGCCGAGACTTTTCTCACCTTCCCGCCCTGACCGAGAGCGCCTATCCAACCGACCAATCCACACTGTGTCACTTTGGGGCGCTCACACCTCCGAGGTGCATGAGACGAGTGAGATTCTGTGAAGAAGAGACACAAGTCGCTTACCGTGATGTCTTCCATCATATCGTGAAGAAAGTTTTATGTTGGTCAGGCTTCGACTAACTGCTTAAACTAGTGGCCGGAGTAGATGAAGAACCAGTGTGCATCTTCGAGTGGCCGATCGACCCGAGTGATGGTTTGTGATCGAACCGATCCGCTTGGCACTTCTTACCCCCGGTGGTTCCATTGGTTGCATGCCCCATTATATCATCCTCGGGGGATCTTGAGCACGCTACCATATCGAATCCGAAGCTAAAGGAGTTGGATAACGTACCGATTTCGGTGTGCGTGGGCTGGGGCTCTGTGTTTGAGTGGTTGGCCAGCTCAGTACTCGTTACAATTAAACATACACATACCAAACAAAGAAGAAGAAGTGGAAAGAGAAAACGCAGCAAAAGAACCAACCCAGGACTCAATAGGCAGGAATACTACTCTAGCACGATAAGACTACTTGTGAAAGCATTCGACCAAAGCACAGACCTACGGGAATTGGTCGCAGATGAATTACACTAATATTGACCAAATAGTTTTATTATTTACTTCTAGAGGTAGTGGTCATGGATTATTTGCTCTCAAGGCTTGTCTTCACTTTCTCCACGAGCTGGATAGGGCACTAGGCAGAGCAGCGCTACGCGGTCCTCTAGATCCCAGCCGCGAAAGGAAATGGTTATATACCGTTGATATCATAAGTTCATACAGTCAGTACCATTGCGCCAAAACAATCAATACATACATGTATATACACCCCACCCTTCCCCGCTCTAAGAAAAACAGAATTACGCCCCCAACATTCCCCCCCCCCCCCCCCCGCCCCCATCACCACCACCAAAACACCACCACCACTAAAACACCACCAACACGACCAACACCACCACGCCCACCAGCGCCACACCCACGATACCCACCCCCGCCACCACCGCATGCCCCACCACCTCCACCCTCCCCGTCCCACTGCTACTCCCCGTTCCATTCTCCGCCTCCGCCACCAGCGCATTAAGTATATTCTGTGTCGGCAGCGGGCGCAGATGCGTTGTTGCCGCCGCCACCTCCGGGAAGGCCGAGTTCATTGGGACGCCGCTGACAGTGGCGGGGATGGTGGCGTTGGGGGGCGCGGTGATGCCGAGTGCGCGGAGGAGGTGCGGGGGCGGCGGGTAGTGCGTGTGCCCGTGGGTGTGGCAGAGCGTGTAGAGGGTTGTGAAGTAGGTTTCGCTGCGGGGTGTGTTAGTGTGTGTGGTGGTGGGATGAATGGGGTGGGAGGAGGGGAGGGGGTAAAAGTACACGGAAGAGCTGTTCCCGGCGCAGGACCGGAGCACGCATGGGATTATGGAGGCGAGGAGGTGCCGGTCGGTGCAGAGGCAGCTGATGGTGTTTGTGAAGTCGTTTTCGCTAGTTTGTGGAGGATTTATTGCGCACTAACATACATGTCACTCTTGGTTAACTTTGTGTCCAAGGCTGTAGAAATGAGTGTTTCGGGGAGGGATGTACTAGTGGGACGTTGGACATGTCGGTCTTGTCTTCGCAGGCCTGCACGCATGGTGGGCTGTCGGGGGTGGGGAATATTAGTGTTGCGAGGATGGGTGTGAGGTGGAATGATAGCAGGAGGAGAAGCCCGAGAGGGGGGTGCATGGTGGTAGTAGTGGGAGTTGTGTTGTATGGGAGGGTTGCAGTAGCTAGCTGGCTGCGTGTAAGTATAAGTTATAGTACTCGGTCTATAGTACTAAAACTATAGTTGTAGTGGACACTAGTGGTAATTACCGGTACTAGTAGTCGATCTCAGTAGCACTAACCAGTAGCAATCAACAATTAGTAGCTTCAATAGTAGCTGGTAATGACCGTTGCGACAACAAAAGAGAAAATTCGTAAAAACTAAAAAGCGTTCGGGTATTACGCGATAAAACAACGGGATCTACATTGGTTTTAATACTGGGGATACAATTTCACGGTGAGGGTTGTGGTTGTGGTTGTGGTTGTGGCTTTACCGGGGGCCGGGCGCGGGGAGGGACCGGTGGAGGGGAGTTGAATTTGGAGCTGGGGGTTATGTCAGCTGCGCCGCGGGGGGTTTGGGGTTTACATCATGAGGGAGGATAATGGAATGGGTAGTGAGAGGATGAGATTTTGAAGAGGCTTTTATTACACAGTTGGCTATGGAGAGAGAAATAGTCGATACAAAGCTCCTCTACATACTTATATCGTGATATCCCATGAAGCAGCCAAGTAACGAAACAAAAAAACCGCCAAGACCACCGATCAGCGCTCCGACTACCCATTCCGAATTCTCCGCACAGGGGGCCCTTTCGACAGGGATCCGCAGCCTTAACACAAGGCTTGATTTTTTTTTTTACATTTGCGGGTTTTCGCTAGTGCCCGAAACCGTTTATGACAAGCCTTTTTTCCTCTCCGCCGTTAGTTTGAGCCTCATGTTGAATCCGGGCATCCGATATCCGGGAGTGCGGCATTTCAGATCTGGTATGGGCGGGCGAGGGGTGGAGGGAAAGGAAGAGGGATTGGTAGGGTGGGCGGAGATGGGGATACACCGAATGAGTGAGTGGGGATTAGAATGAGGTGGGCTCTGAACGGTGCAGGTGTGTTTATGCGATGGGAGGGAAGGGAAGGGTTTGGCAGCTGCGCGGACAAGAGATGTTTGGTGCAGGATGCTGTGATCCTTGCTCAAGGGTGGATGAGTGTGGCGGGTATTCTGGAGAGTGTTTGTGCTTGTACCTTGATGTACCTACTTGTTACTACATGTACTCTGCCGTGATTACAATGCCCTATAAGACGGCATCCACGCGTACGATGTTAGATAGTGCTCTTCTCACATTAGAGTGAGAGTGAGCAATAGAGGATACGTAGCCCCCCCAAGACCAAAGTCCGATGGCCAAGATGTATTATCCACCCTCAACAGGCCAAGAGACTCGCTCTTCTTCACCTTCACCTTCTGCATGCGACACCTGCCTGGCACTTGCCCCCACTCTGTCCAGTGGAAGATCGTGCAGTTACACCTCGTATTAATCCGTATCCGTGCCACATCATCCTCTATCACTCGCGACCGCAACAACGCCCACGCCCACGCCCACGCCCACGCCGAGCCAAAAGCCAACCCCACGGAGCCTTACGTAATACGCCCATTTAAGCCTCATTCATTTCCGGTCCCGGCTTTCACCTATCGCCAGATTTCCCTTCTCTCCCGTCAGGACAGACTGTTGTTGTTCGTTCACGTAAAGCGCCTCTCCCTCAAGTAAACCCTTAATCTTGAATTTCTTTGCTTTCCCTCACGCAAAGCAAAAGGTTTGCTCCTCCTCCTGCCCAACATGCGGATCTCTAAAAGTCTGCTGTTCCTGTCGGCCACGGGAGTGTCTCTCTCGTCGGCATTCTACATCCCCGGTGAGTACCTTTGTTCTGGACTAGAGCAGTCCCCCCCCCTTTCCACAGATCCACAACCATCGTAATCATCATCACTAGACTGCCGTTGGAGACATTGTAATATCACAGGAATCTATGGGCTGACGGGGGTGCTATTGGTGTGTGTGTGTGTGCTCAGGCTGGTCTATCCGCTCATACAAGGACGGCGACGCGATCCCTCTCTCGACAAACAAGCTCACCTCCCCCACTACGCAGCTCCCCTACGCCTACTCCGAGCAGCCATTCGTGTGTCCCGCCAGCAAGGACGGCTTCGGCGCGCGCTTCGGGTCATCGAGAGCCATTGCCCTCAACCTGGGCGAGGTTCTGCGCGGCGATCGCATCCAGATCAGCGATTACGAGCTCACAGTGGGTCAGGATGAGGTGTGCAAGCATCTCTGCGATCGGGAGACCGATAGGGCGGGTGTGGAGAAGGCAAAGGAATTGGTGAGGGGTGGTTATGTGGCCGAATGGTAGGTTGCGCGATCTCTCCCCAGACTTTTTTTTTTTTTTTGTGATCTTACCCCTGGAACCTCGCGCGTTTGGGGCACGCGCTCAGGGATGGTCTGTGGCTTGGATGCACGGAGCTTTCTGGATGGCCAGTGGGCTGCTGGCGTTGGTTTGGTTGGATGTGAGGAGCCCGGGCTGACAGCTGCATGATGATTGTTACAGGATCGTCGATAACCTTCCGGGGGCTACTTCGTTTGTGACGGTCGATAAGACCAAGAAGTACTATGCTGCTGGTTTCAAGCTCGGGTTCTACGAAAACGATGTTTGTTTTATCCTCTCGAGTTCTTTTTCTATTGTATTCGATTTTGATGACTGACATGCAAGCAGAAAGCATTCATCAACAACCATGTTACTCTCGTCATCCGCTGGCGCAAGACCGCCGAAGGCCCCAATCGCAAGGTCATCGTCGCCTTCGAGGTCTACACCAAGTCGATTGCCGGACCGATGGGCAAATGCTCCGAGACTCTTGAGGGACAGAAGCCGCTCGAGCTCTATATCCCACCGGAGACTCCTAGAGAGGACGGAGGTCAAGGTGGAGATGATGGCAAGAGATTGAACATCCCATACACCTACTCTGTCTACTGGAAAGAGGACAACACTATTGAGTGGGCCTCACGCTGGGATCTTTACTTTGTCAACGATGACGAGGCGGCTTCCATTCACTGGCTCGCCATTGTCAACTCGCTTGTCATCGCAATGCTATTGACCGTCGTTGTCGCAATCATTATGCTGCGCACTCTCTCTAGAGATATCCAGAACTACAACGACACCGGTGCTACCGACCCCGAATCTAAGCGGAAAGCAGCAGCTGCCGCCGCCGCCGAGGGCGCAGAGGAAGATGAGTCTCTTGATGATATCACTGGCTGGAAGTTGGTCCACGGAGATGTCTTCAGACCACCTGGGGCCGGAGGACTGTTTGCACCAATTGTTGGCAGCGGAGTTCAATTGCTCGCCATGGCCGTCGCACTCATCGTACTCAGCGCTGTCGGTGTCCTGAACCCCAGCTACCGCGGTGGCTTCATCAGCTTTGGCCTCTTCCTGTTTGTCTTCGCCGGTGTCTTCTCAGGCTACTTCAGCACCCGTGTCTACAAGACCTTCAAGGGCGAGAAGTGGAAGAACAATGCCCTCATGACAGCCCTCCTCTTCCCTGGTTTCCTCTTTGGATCGGTATTCATTCTTAATCTCTTTGTATGGGCACAAGCATCGTCCACCGCTATCCCGTTCGGGACACTAGTGGCGCTGGTCATGATGTGGCTGTGCATCTCGCTCCCACTCGTATTTGTCGGTTCGTTCTTGGGCTTCAAGAGGGCGCCATGGGAACACCCCACTCGTACCACCATGATTGCCAGGCAGATCCCCGCGCAGCCATGGTACCTCCGCACTGGACCCGCGGTGCTCATGGGCGGCTTGATCCCCTTTGCAGTCATCTTCATCGAGCTGCTATTCGTGTTCAAGAGCCTCTGGCAAGACAAGAGCGGGTACTACTACATGTACGGCTTCCTCGCACTCATCGCCGGCATCAACGTCGTGACCGTGATCGAGATCACCATCGTAACTACGTATTTCCAGCTCTGCTCTGAGGTTCGTCCCCCCCCCCCCCCCTTTTCTCTCTCCTTCTTAAACATAACCAACTAACAAATAAAAAAACAGAACTACAACTGGTGGTGGCGCTCATTCCTCGTCGGCGCCGGATCAGCCGTCTGGATCTTCCTCTACAGCGCATGGTACTTCATGACAAAGCTGCACATCGAGGGATTCGTCAGCTCCCTCCTCTTCTTCAGCTACTCGTTCCTGGCCTGCGTCGTGTACGGCCTGCTCCTGGGCACCATCGGCTTCTTGAGCACGTATGCGTTCGTTAGGCGGATTTATGGCGCTATCAAGGCGGACTAGTTTTGGATCTTTGGGCTAGTTGACTAGTTGGTTTGGGGGGTGAGGGGTTTAATATTTTCAATTGTCTATTTTTTATTTTTTATTTTTTTTTCTTTACGCTTTTTTACGCTTTTTTGTGTAGGAACTTGGGTTCTTGGTGGCGCTTTAGAGTCGCCTTCTCAACTGTTTTTTCTTTTCTTTTTTCTTCTTTCCTCTTTTCTTTTCTTATGGTTCTTTTTTGTCAAGTCAACTGTTGTGTATCTATCTATTTCATGCATTTGCATTGATTGGGTGTAAAGAGTGCGTGCGGGTGGGGGTGTTTAGGAAAAATTAAAAATTAAAAAATAAAAACCAAGAAATCTTTTGCCCAAAAAGAATAAAAAAAGACTCCGGAGGCCTCCTTCACCGGCCGCGTGTGTTTGTCGTGTAGAGAGGGTTCGGTCTGAGACGTGGTCAATCTACACTACCAGCTAGTATAGTGGCCATGATTTCTCCATACTGTGGTAAAGACTGGAGGGAGGAGTGATCTCGACAGGCGTTGTGGGTTTAGGTGCGTGGGTGCGTGTGTAAAGATGGATCATGAGGTATCACTCGTTGAAATCTCTCCAACCAACTAGAGCAGCAAGTCGACCCGGGCGCTATCCCACGGTACAGTCGATTCTCGCTATTGCGATAAGGTCGGGACCGGAAAGTGGCACTTTTATAACGAGATTATCAATATAAGAAGTTCAGGGCTAGTTAGGTTTTGTTTGGAACCGAAGAATAAAATTCACGGTTAATTTCACTTCCTTTTGTAGAAATTACTTTTCTTCTCTTCTTCGGGGGACTCTTTCATTTTCTTTTTATTACTAACTTTTTTCTCCACTTCCTTTTCCCTCCCGTTTTCTCCCTTATGTTTTTGTTCTCTTTATACAAGCATACATCCCGTACAAACTTCCACTAAACACCTAAGGATATCGTTCTCTCAAAATATCACCAAGACTCCATAAGCAAAATGTTGGGACCGGCAAGCGTCATCCTAATAAGCTATACAGCACGCTTCCCCCCATTGTGTTGTGGCTCACGAGTGGTGTTCTCGGGGTCCTCTTGTGCCAGGCCGCGTGGCATTTTTCTCCAACCAGCGCACTACATACAAATAACGATTAGATTAGATTAGATTGATCAAGCTGAGCCCCCCCCCCTTCTATAGGATAGGGTTATAACAAAAAACCGGCCACCACAGGCATGCGTTATTCGGATTAGTCTAAGGGATAAAACATCACTCCATCCTCCATTAGCTTCCGTCGCAGGAGACGGTATGGGTTCGAATCCCATGTCGGGCACGAGGGGAGGGAACACTATACCATCGCTCCCCAAATTGCTGCAGTTTTTGCTGCCGGATTTTTTTGTTTATGAGAATCGGGGGGGCCCCGGGGGGGGGGGGGGTGTTTGGTTCATGTTTTTTGACTCGGCTGCGGGGGGGCCATGAGGAGGTGTGTGTGGATCATTGACTATCACTCGGTCTCGATATCACATCGCCATCCCCACCACCAGCCCAAAGCGCCGACAATGGATCACCTCGAGTATACTTTGACTTTCAGAACCAAGCTCAAGATGGCAGACAATGCCAAATGTCTACCTAGATACATGTAGGTAGGCCTAGATTCCAGCAACAAAGAGAACAAAGCCGACTAGCAGTACACACAACAAAGAGACCAGGCCTAGGCCGCGCCACCAATCCGGCAGCTACAAAGGATAAATTTATAAAACAGGTATCGAGCTATGCTAAAGAAGAGAACTATATAACTAATGCTGCTGCTGCCGCAGTTATTTTTCGCCCACCCGCCAACACTCCTCCAGGCCTCGGCTCGGGGGAGAGACAATCAACAGGGAGCCTGCGGGTAGCGATACTCGCGGTGTATATATGTTCTCTTCGGACAATAGGTGCGGGTCCTGTTGAAAAAAAAAACTGTGGAACGGCACTCGAGCTCCCTCAAGCTCGAAGTCTTCCAAAGGAAATGAAAAAAGAAAAAAGAAAAAAAGAGAGAAAAAACCTTCCAGAGTACTCTCACCACCTACCGCCCATCCACTTCAATCCTCGCTCCCATCTACTTTCCCCCGACTTCATCACCAAAGGCCCATGATCCCCTCGGTCATCCCTACCCCCAGTCCCCGCATCTGTAACCCCCTACCCTCACCACCACATCCCACACCCCAAGCCGCGACCAGTGGTGGCCAGCTAGTGTTGAGTATACTCGGTGCAGTGCTGTGGAAAAAGCAAGGTGTGGCTCTTTGTCTACGATGTGATCACGGTGTAGCCACACTGCACTAAGCCCCACCGAATGTGCGGAATGTATTCACCGCTGCTGGTCGTCCACTGATGCGGCTGGGAGCGTGGACTGTCTTGAGGGTGGAGGGTTGTGGATGCGGGGGGTGTTGGAGAGAGGAACGGTTATTATAAATAGCGAGGCCAATAGGTTTCTTGTCTCATGCTGGATTGTTTTGGAGGAGGCTTCTGGGCGGTGGGGAGGAGTGAGATATCTAGACCATAATGTAATATACTCTGTTTAACGCACATGTACATCCTCCTATTTGATAGTAGGTACATGTAATCAGCAGAAGCCAATGTAAAAAAAGTAAAAGCCACTGCAGCTTCATGATGTGAAGACCGATTGTTCTTTAGGAAGTCGTGTATATGAGTCTTTTGTCCCTGTTATAATTCACTTATTAACACTCCGATCACTCGCCTAGTATTACACACGAGGAGCAGCAATAACCCACGAAGCCACTTACCTCATGGACCATGCTATGATAACAACTATAGTCCATAGTTTGGTCCCTCTAAGACCGAGCCGGGTTTGAACTGAGATGTATCTCCGGTGATAACTATTACGCTTTCGACAGCCGCAGTGCCTAAAGCCCTACAGGGTGTCTATATTTAGAGCGACAACTACGCAATATGTTTTTTGTTATTGCATGAGAGTAGTGGTACACTGGTGGTGAGGTAATGCGGGAAGGGACGAAACCGGGTGCATGGAGTGGTGTTGAGCACCCGGGTAGGCGACGTTTCTTATACTACATGTAGTGCGAGGCCACCCAAACTGATGCATTTGCTTATAGTGACTTATTTGGTGGCTCTGGCCCCAACCTCTACCATATTTTGAACCATACATGTAATTGCTGGGGCCAAAAAACTACAATGCCACGGACTTTTATGACATATATCGAGGATACCATGGCAACCATAAATGTCAACAAAGACCTAGATTTTATGGCCAAAACTGTGAACTAAAAAGAAGAGGAAAAGAAGTTCAGCTTTGGGGTGTTCTTTCTCTAATTTTCTGCTATTTTTTCGCTCCACATTTGGGGGCAGTACTCAAAGAGGAAGACATATTGGCTGTTGTTGGTGCATCCCCAATAAACCAGCTAAAAATCACGGAGTGTTTCCAAATAATCTTGACTAATGTAAATCAATAAATCTGAAGCTGTTTTATGTTTTATTGATTGATGACTAATAACTTTGGTTAACCCAGACTAGTGATGTTACACGGTTCACCGTAGAGTCTACGGTGTTGTTTTCATCACTTATAGAACACCGTAAGCTCTACGGTCTTATTTTTATTGTTTACACCAAACTGCAGACCGTAGTGGCTATGGTCTACAGTTTAATACTTGTACTATATGGAAGACTATAGGCTCTACAGTGTTATTTTTATCACTGTAGGCTCTAGTGTTAAATTAGTTGGAGTTAGTTGGTTAGGATGAGTTAGGGTTCAGGTTTTATTGCACACACTGGTTGCCATGCATGGCATTCTAGATATATTTGACAAAAGGCCGTGGCATTGTGGTCTTTTACCGAAAAATTAATGGCCTACATCGAAGCAACACCAGATACGTAGCCACGTCCGATTCATATCTTCCGCTTTCCTCGGAGCTGATCTATACCATCCCTAAATATCCGTGGGTAGCTTGTTAGGAGAGGGAAACAGAACCCGAACACTCTCGTACTCTCCCAGACTTTCCGTCGCAGCTTCTACAATCCTTAATTGGCAGTATAGCCTCATTGGTGGTACTTGACTCCTTCCATCTATAACCTTTACTAACCTTTCCCCCCCAAAACGGGTACGTGCTTAACTTCTAGCCGCTGTTTTTTGCAGAAGGTCTCCGTCCTCACGAATGATAACTTTAGCTCATCACATTAATTGCCATGAGCGCAGTGAAAGGTTATAGCAAGAGCTACTTTTTATATTACTCTCATTGGCAGCTACATGGACTCATGTGTACCAACAACCCTAACATATCAATATTCCGAATATTATAAGGCTGCATAGCTTCTCCTTGCGAGCGAAGAGAAATCTACTGATCTAGTATCGCGCCAGCGATGCGAGTTTTCGATTGCGAGCTATATACATACACTACATGTAGTAACCGGCAGTCCTTTGCCCTTAATAGAGCAGGAGTTAAAAATCACCGACAAGTTTACCGTTGCGAAACCTTCCTACCAGGCATTAACCATTCCGTTAACGAAAATCTCCCCAAAAAATCCATCTTCTGCATTTTCATAACACTTGACAAGACGTGTCACGCCACCCCCCCAAAACCACCCCACAATCCAACAATAATTATAAGCTCAGGCTTCTCCACGTCTACATATATCTACCCCTATCTCCCCCCGATATATATCCCCACCCTCCCCAATCCCCACCTCCCATCAATTATCCCAATTTCTACAATGGCATGATGCCTCATGACAGTCAGCGCTCAAGTTTCGTCTCCTAGCTAAGCTAAGCGACATGGCACGAACCACCCACCCAGGGCAACACCCAATATCGGTTAACTACCATTCCCTCCTTCCCCCGCGCAGACAGGCACAAGGATCTGCGAGCTGGCCTAGCTGGGCGCCTATTATAATGTATGGTATACCATATGTATATGTGTACAGCCGCATTCATATCATTGCCTGAACCAATCACAGCTGCACTGCGGCGCGGGAGAGAAAAATAATAAGTTAGTCTGACGATTATTATAATAGTGGGACGATTTTTTGCTTCCTATGGCATGGTATCGGAAGATCCAAACCTTCGGGTTTTTTGTTGTGCTGGCTGCGCTGGCTGGGCCAGATCACTTATAAACAACGTGCGGGTTCCGTCCGTCTAGATAACCGTTTTGTCTTGTTGAGCTTCAAGTACAAATTTTCGATTTTTTCTTTCGATTTTTTTTTTTTGGTTCTTTTTAAACAACTTTTTTTTTTTTTTCTTTCTTTGGTTTTATCAAAAGAATGGCGTATATAAATAGGTGGAAACACGTTTGGCTTCTCCGGTCCCTGTTCGTTTTCGAATTCCTCCTCCTCACGGCCCTCCTCGGCCTCATTGGCTACGCAAACCCCGACACCTTCACCACAAAGCTCCGGCTCGACGGGGCCCTCAATGGCTTCAACTCTAGCCCTGCTATCTCCACTGGGGCATCAACACCCTACGTCTGGACCACCACGTAACTATCCCTACACCCCCCTCGACCCTACTCCCTCGGTCGAACATATATTGACAAACATAATCGAATATATCCAGATTAACGAAATACAACCTCTCGCTCTCGGTCGCATCGTTCCTTCTATTTGTGGTGCAGGGTGCATTATATATCCTAGAGTTCTATGTCCCGGTAGTAGCGGTGGTGCTAAAGGCCGCATTGATGGGGGCATGGGGGTTCTCAGTGCATTCGCAGTCGGGGAGCGATTACACAGATGCGAAGCACCCGTCGCCGAGTCCGTGGTATCTGAGGAAGAGCTGCGATGTGGTGTACTATCAGAGTAACAAGAATTACTGCCACGAGGCCAAGGCGACGTTTGGGATCTCTGTGATGTTGCTGTGAGTTTTTCATTCCATCTGGATAGGTAGAGGAGAAGGAGGGCTAATTTGTGATTATATAGTGCATGTTATGGGGCGCTCATTGTGTTGGCGGTGGTGTCTTTGTTGGCGAAGAGGCCGCCGGGGATGGAGAAGAAGAAGGGGCAGGATGTGGAGGATGGAAATGGGTCGGATAATGATTCTTTGGAGTTGGATGGGGGAGCTCGGTGGTGATCATGGTGGTGTGGTTTTTGATAATGATATGGGTGGCCGTTCTTTTTTGGTTTATTTTTTTTTGGTGATGGTGTTTTGGTGTCCTTTTTTTTTTTTTTTTTTGCTGTATATACTGAACTACGACCTCTAATTTCCTTATGAATATAATCAAGATGGCTATGTGCTATAATTTGCAAAGAGTGGTGGCTATAGCTTGGACCTAATGAGAGCCCGTGCTGAGTGCACGGGTGTTGCGTGATTAGAGGTGTACGCTAAATTTAAGATCGAGCGAATATGGATTGCGTGAGAACGGGGCCGGACGGCATGCGCATTGACCAGGCGCTGGCACTTGCGGATTCCTACATGTACTTGTGTAAGTAATCCACCAAAAGATTTATTTAGAAGTTAAGCACGTACCCGTTTTGGGCGGTAAAAAGTTAGTAAAGGTTATAAATGAAAGGAGTCAAGTCCCCCCACCAATAAGGCCTTGCACGATTCCTACATATTACACTGCCCCTCCGAGTCATTTTTCATGATCACTAAATACCATGCTACGGAAGTCCGTTGCTCTTCTATTAAATTTTATAGTAAAAACCGTCCGCACAGCCAAATCTTGATTCTGAAGAACTACGCAACCGATTATTATTAATTCGTGGCAAGTCATTACGGCTGGCCGGTGGTTGCTGTTAATTGTTAACGTTTCGATGTTGTGCAGTTTAGATGTGGTTCCAATTAACTATCTGTACTTTTGTCTTAGGGCAATTCTGTTCTCTAAGCCGGAAGCCATCCGGTGGATATTCTTTCGAATGTGGTCTGAGGTTCCCCCACGGGGTGTCTACAGATCCACTTATCTGGCATACTCATCTGGCAGTTTGCTTACAATTCTCATACATACTTGAGTTCAGATGGCCAAAACGACACAACATCTTCTAAAAATTCCAAAAAAATTGGCATTTCACTATTAGCAACTGGAGTTATAGGTCACATGGCCTTATTCTTTCTCCACTGTCGAGTGTTGGGGGGGGGGGGGGGGTGGGGTGGGGAGGTGGCGTGATCTTATTTTACAGAATTTGTTTATCTTCAAAACTTCATTCAGGTTTGAACACCTTCAGAACATCCACGGGATAGCTTCCACTAATCCATCATCACACAACCCCATGTGTACCTGTGGCTTTTGTGACACTTAAAATGTCCACTATTTATCTTATCTCCATTACCCATTCGGGGTCGTACTTGGCTCAACTTGGCGGCCCTACTGCCTACGTACCGCAGCTGTGAAAGCTTGAGCGAGCAAAGAAGCATGGGAAGATAGTCCAGAGTAATAACTAAAACTGATGATGAGAGCGTCAGGTAGGTTTACACCAGCCGAGAGATCGAGTGTGAAGGCTGATGATGAAGAGATAGGTTTAGTTTTAGCAAAGGGTTTAGTATTTTTGACACGGCCGTATTGGTGTTAGTTTTTCACGACTTTGTGTACTTAGGTTGGCTAATAGGCGACCAAATCTACCCCGAATCTATGCTGTTATATGAAGCCATTTTCTAGATCCCGTCTAGTACACGTACATGTAGTTACAAGTGTAAGTCGTAAAAGTGTGCTGCACTTCCGGAGCTGTACCCAAATGCGACTAGCTGCGACTGTCTAAACCCCCACGCTCCGTTCGCGCGAGTGAGATTCCATGATCGCCTGAAACCCTTCCCACTAGTTGGTTCCACGATCTACGCCAAGCAGAGTAGCACAGATCTCGGCCCTCGCCTGCAGCGGAAACGGCCGATCGATCATTGCTTGCCTAGACCTGCAGCCGCAAACCACCAAGCCTTGCAGAACCTCAAACCTCTGATCTCAAGCCTTCAACCTCAAACCTCCGATCTCAAGCCTTCAACCTCAAACCTCCGATCTACACAAGACCTCAAACATCTGCACACACCTCGGCACGCCTCCTCCGCCACCCAAAGATGTCCGTCTCCTTCCGCGACGCATACACCACCCACGGCGTCGACAACTACTACACCCTCGTCGCAAACACCTACAAAAACCCCCACGAACCCGGCGTCCAAAAAGCCCTCCGCCAAATCCTCGAATCAATAGTCCCAGGCAAGCCTTCCCCTCCTCCCCTCCTGCCCCTCCCGCCCCCTACCCCACCCCGCTCCACCCGCCCTTCCAGCACTAACACAACCACCCACCACCCACAGTCGACCCCCCCAAGCCGTACTACCGCCTCCTCGACCTCGCGGCAGGCTCCGGCGAAGCCACCCTCACCGCCGCGCACTGGTTCTCCCTGCGGCGCCCCTCCTACCGCCTCCTCACCTCCGCACACGACCCGTTCACGGCCTCGCTCTACACGACGCGCACCGGCGGGCGGCCCTGCGGGACACAGTCATTCCGCGACATCCAGACCGGCGGGCTGGCGGTGTCGCCCGGGCGGAGCAGCAGCAAGAACGATGTTGTCGTGTGCTCGTTTGCGCTGCATCTGTGTCCGGTGAGCGAGGTGTGGGGGCTGCTGTACACGCTGAGCTGCGAGTGCCGGTGGCTGGTGGTGCTGGCGCCGCATAAGCGGCCCGAGGTGGGGACTGAGCATGGGTGGGAGAGGGTGGGGAAGGAGGTGTGTGTGGAGCGGGTGAGGGGGAGGTTGTTTCGGAGTTTGAATTTTGAGGATGTGGAGGAGGTGGAGGTGGAGGAGGGGAAGGAGGAGAAGGCGGGGGTGGAAGAGGAACGGGCAGAGAAGGAAGAGGTAAAGAAGGAAGACGCAGCCGTAGTAAAGGACGAAGACAAGCAAGAGGTAAAAGAAAAGGACATAGAAGCAGCAACTAACGAACCCCAAGATAAAAAAGAGGAAGTGGTCGAAAAAACAGAAAATTAACAAACCAGTTAAAAAAAAAAAAAAAAAACAGGAAATGATCATAATGCAACTATTAACCAATTAGCGGGTATTCAGCCAAGACGAGCAGTGTAAATGTTTGATATCTCTCTAGCTAGCAAGAGTTCTCCCCGTTTCTGCCATTCTCTAGCTAACTCTACGTACCAAATCCCCTCCTTCGCTTTTACCTATCGTTATGACCTCTACAATATATATCATAGCATAGCTGTAGAAACTTTAGACCACGAATCTCCCCTTCCCAGGTAAAAGAGAAGGACTACTACTGCGTATTATGTATTGTGGGGTGACAAAAGTTCTCGTGATTTTGGCGTAGTAACCAGCAGGAATTACCTACAAGGCTAATCCTCAAAGTCGGCAATCGGGATTCATACTTAGGAGATATGTTCTATCAATCTTCAGCTCTCTGATCATATTAATATCTTCTTTATATCTTTTGTGGTCGTGGAGTTATAGTCGTTTCATGACCCATCCTTATACAAAATCACGAGAACTTTTGTCACCCAACTATATACACGCACCCAAAAGATTGGGAGGGGGCTCAATACCGTATATACGAGGCTGGGACTCTTTGCCTAGTATAACTGCGTACTGAGCGCACCTGCCTAGCTCTCCGTCCTGGGCAACGGTTTTATGACAAGCCCTATGGTGCCAATCGTACTAAACCTACCCTATTTCCTCTCCAAACTTGACTCTCGTGCTAAAGTTATCTCAACACACAAATAAAAAAGTCGAAATTCTAAAACAGTAAATCTGTAGGTCGATCTGTAGGTATCACAAGAACCACATATGGACTCTTCTGATTTTTCTCTCTTTTTACTTTTTGAAGGTGTAGATACGTACATTTACGGTTCGTAGGTGCTCCTGACCTGTTGACCGCTGCCAAAACCACATCAATAACCTTAGTTTGAGCTCATAATCCTTGAAAAAGCAATTTATTGATATTGGTAAATATCTGAAACCAAATCATGGTGCGAATAAATCATCTCTCTGTCTGAGCCCTTGACCGCCAGGGGAGGTTTAGCCTGACCGCCTCCATAGATCTCGAGAGGCCCTTACTGCTCTCCGTCAACAGGAAGAACGTAAAATTGAAGAGGGGTCGACCCGGTATTGACAGACAGACCCGCGGCAATTCATATAGATAGTTAATCCACCCGGCCACTTAGCTTTTAATGCCCGGTGTATGTCCCTTAAAGGGCTGACAGGTTTTGGCGACAGGTGCTGCGGCCTGCCAGCTGGCGTGCACAATTCAGAAATTGTTGAGGAGGCGCCAGAAATTGTCTGTGATAGCTATACGGCACTCAGTGAGCCTACCAGCTGTAACTTTCGGGTTGTCGTTATCTTCAAATTTTATGCCTGTGGGTTAGCTATAAGGACACTGGACCCGCGGGGATCCGGAGAAGATCAACCGTCCGGCAAAGGCGGAGAGGTGCCGTACCATCACAAAAACCCGCGGCCCTGCGAGCTCCCCCATCCATCACACCCACGCAACCAATGCTTCTGAGGCCAACAGCAGATCCGGACCCTTCCATCTAAGATAGCGCTTGTAACATAGACCTATCGGCGGCCATGATTTCCGCCATAAGACCAGGCAACTTTCCAGCGCTCGGGTAAAGACCCGAAATGAAACCCGCGGGCTCCTGTAGTGGTATGTACAGTCGCAACTCGATATGCCGGATTGCCAATATTCGAAGGATTTCATACGGGATAGCAAAAAATCCGGGATAGCAAATTAATTTTGCAGTAAAAAAAACCAAAACCCCAGAGGATTTCGTACGGGATAGCAAGGGATCCGGCGTATTGAGATCCAGCATATCAAGTTGCGACTGTAGATTAGATCGCAGCCGGGGCACCTGCATGTAATTATAACGTAGACACCTCCTCCATCTGTAGAAGCTTCCCAGCTACGCGTCCCAGCGCCTATTGTGGAAAACCAGTCTTAAGCTCTTTGCATACACGTAGCAAAATTCCCCCCGTCAGCGGGCCGTTCCGTCTCCAAAAAAGAAAAGAAAAAACTTTAATTATGCAATAACTTCCACCCGTCAGTAAGCCTCACCCAGCTGACCACCATACGCATCTATCTCCTCAACCTCATCTCTCCACTAACGAGACTCCTCCGCCTGCAATCAAAGACCACCAACTCCCATC